CAAAATATTTGTCCACTTACAATAATAAAAATTAATGATATGTGGTAAATGATACAAGTGCAAAAACGCAATCGCATAATTAGGTAATGAAATAATTTCATTACCTAATTATGTTTTTGTTTTTAGATATTTAACTAATCATCACGCGAAGACCAAAAATATATTAAAAAAAACAAATATAAATAAGTAATTTATACATAACCTTTTATATTTTAAATGATAAATTAAAAAAATTAAAACATTGGTGACGCCACTCTTACAATCAATGCAGCAATCTTAACATTACGTCATCTCTTGCAAAATCTTATTGTAAATTAGCCGAACAGACAACATTGGATTATTTTATTATTTTTAATGACTTATAATTTATTAATAGTTTTACTCACAAGTCCCTTCAATAAACGCGAGATATTTAAGTGCGTAATGTGATTGTTTTTTCACCAAAAGTCATAGATAAGCAACCGCACAAATTGGCGAAAAAGTGTTATGCCCTAAAAAATAATAAAGTTTGTAAACAATAAGTATATATATAATCCACAACCTACTAAACCTGGTGTTTATGTATATAAGCTGTTAAAAAAATTACTCTTATTAAACTTATGCAAGATTCAAGAGCAAATGCCTGGCTTGTAGGACTGTTCGGAGTGCACATACTTTGCTCTGTACTGATTCACCTATGCACTCTTCGATTGGCATCATCTTTCGTTTTTTAAGACTGTACGGTCGTATTTTACCACCATATGTTCGCTTATTTATATGGGCGTGGCATTTAAATTTACTTGGGATACAACCAGGTTTTAGCCGTATTTTTAACACAGACCCCATAACATGGTACTCCATGTAGTTCTCCATATCGTTTGGTAACTGCAACAAGTAAATTAAATTAGTTCAACCTATCATTCACGGGGTTATTTTCGTGTGACCAAAACCCAAATATGCATATTTTAATTTGTCATCAGTTTATCTGTTTGAATATATTGGTACAAACGAATATGTTCAAATGAAAGCAATGTCCACACTGCGCGGTATTTAAAAATTGATACGCAGTACATTTTTATGCGATATATTAATGAATGCGACGGATGACATAGACAGAGATAGCAGGCCATACATTGGCCGTAGGTTGGAGCGAACAGAAGGCTTGTGACCCTTCATTTTCATTCAATCATTATCATATAACACGATTGGGTGACTTTTAATAAACAATGTATTTGCCAAAAATCTTTTTTTTTTATTATTAAAAATTTGTGCCTTTTTTTTAAATTAAATTAGAGTTGTTGTGTAATTGATTGAAATAAGTTTATTGTCTGTCCTCGAGAAAATTCAATTTAATTCTTTGTTGTCTTTTCGTAATATTTTCCTTATTTTTATGCTCGTGATGCATCCGGATATTGAGATGTTTTTGTACAGTTGCGGATAAGTTGCAGTGTATGATTGTGTGTAGTTTATAGAGTGTTCGGACATACATATTAAACAGAATAAGTTGGACTGACAAAAGTGTTTCAAGGTATAGCACCACTCATTGAAAACGCTGAAAGATTTGCGAATTGAAAATACCACTTGAACAAATAAAACGCCGAATTGTTCATTGCGGAATATCTTCGCGACGTCAATGTGTGAACGTTGGCTAAATTAATAAATATTATTATACCTATGTTACATTGTAATCCGATATTTTAAAAAAAAGTAACTGTCTAGTTCCTTGCCGGTCTCAACTAACAGAAACTGCCTTCCGAACCGGTGGTAACTTACTTACGAACTTAAATATCAATTATAATGTAAAATTCAACGTTTCATAAGAACGCGCAAGCGTCTATTTGAATAAAGATATTTTGAATTTCGTTATGTAACTCCTTTATCCTTCCTTATTTTTGAAACATATTTTTTTCAGTTTCTTAATATACAACTCGCCACTCGGCATTGGGGATTTTTTTATTTTCGTAATTATGGCATACAGTGACAGACGTGTTCATTCGCTCTTATTTTGCGACTAAATCTAATTACATCAATTTCCGTAATTCCGATACCTCAGTTTCGAGTTGGTGTCATATCTGCATCGTGTATGTATATATAAAAATTATTGACAATAATAATAAAAACTTTTTCAAATTTTTATGGGACTAAATGGCAACTATTCTGCATCAAACTAAAGAAGAATCACGTAAATCAGATCATAAATATCAGCGTAATTTGTGTACATACATCGAAAAACAACTAACCTCCTCCTTTTGAAATCGGTTAAAAAACAACTTCAAACAAACCTCAAAATAAAAAAGACCAAAATTAAACTTACATCAAAATGGTCTTCACAAAAATACATTCGTGAATCATTAGACAAATATTCAGGGTCCCGATTTGCTAGTTTAAGCCATTTTTGCCGTATTTTCTTATTGTTAGGTACATAAATGAACAATTTGTTAGGTGTTTTAATTGTTGTACTTCCGCACTGAGGTACTATACAGTACTTGTAAAATTTAGAATTCATTCTAAATTAATTCTGAAAAATGTACACAAATAAAACAGTTTGTTTTGCAAGGCATTACGTCATTCATTCATTCGACATTCAGTGTCATATGTCAATGCAGTGTGTCAGTTAACACGTTAACAGTTTTTACTGTCGGATTTTATAGCCCGGTAACGAGGACTTTTAGGCCTTAATTAACATACACATCACTTCACTTTATTTACAGGATTATTATATTATTATACGATTATTTTATATTTTTTATAGATTTTCAATATTTTTTTGAGATTGGATAATAGGTTTCTTTGAATTTTTATTAATTCACACAAGAAGGAGAGGAATTATTTCTTGAATGGTAGATATGGCTATTGGATCAATTTCAAAGAGAAAGGACTAAGTATAATCTGAGATTACTAATCAACATTATTTTAATCACTTATGTTACTTACAAATATCAAACGCTGTAAAAAGAATGACGGGCTTGAAAAATTAAATGCTTAGCACAATGTTCGCATCTGTTATTGTCAACTATTTTCAGATTATGCAAGTGGTCGAGGCCACTTCGTACTGCTGCCAGAGCATGTCCCCTTTCTTTTACGACAGGCAGGAAATACATTACCCTTTTCAACATAAACATTATCAACAGTTATATAAAAACAAAGGTCCCCTGGAGATTGTCTGGTGATTTTAAAAGCGTTAAATGCTGCGCGCCGTATTTGAGTAAAGCTTGAAAAAGCATGAGATTTTCTCTAGACAATTATTGACTAGTTGACGAAAACCTAAGCCCCACCCTCTCCTTCCTGTGAACAAGCGTAGTATTTTGAAACCTCCATCCCCTCCCTGAACAGTTCACTTAGTATATACTATGGGTACGTCTCCTTTCTCTCTCTCTCTCTCTCCTGTACAATGATTATTACCATCTGATGGTGGGGTCTGCCTTCCTGGTCTTGAACAGTGCACTTCCACTTCGCTTGATCAGACGCATCATCTTCCGTAACATTGCAGGAACATTCCCTTCTTCTTCTTTGCTTGTTGATGACAAATTAGATGTTTCCTTCCCAGAACTTTGGCCAAGTTAGACTTCGACTGCACATTTTTGCTAAGCTTTAAATAATAAAATTAACTTATGGCCAGGTGAACATATAATATTAAATATTATTATTACTCAAGGTAAAAGTGGACTTTAAATTTTATTTTGTATCTTTAAAAAAATATTTTTATAAACTGTGACTTGTTGCTGTCAAAACATTGACAGTTTCGTATCAAAATACATTGAGAAAGCGGTGTCTTTCACAGAGTACTTTAGTATATACTGGTGTCTTTGTTCTAGGTAATTGCTATAATTATGTAAATTTGCTTAGATATTTTATATATAAAAATATACATATTTCACATTCATAAAATCATTCTCTTCATCATTTCATTATAAAAGTTAGGCATTGAAAACCGCCAAAAAAGAAATGGCTAATATTCCGAATAGTACGTCTCGTTTTTCAAGCTAGAAAAAAATTTTAATCTATAGAGAAATGTTAATAACTAAATATTATATAAGTTATCATCAATGAAAACCACTAGATGATGAGGAAAAAATTAAAAAAGTTTTTAAATTTCATACAACTGAAATCCGTCATTACTGTGCGTCCATTATTCATTATTGACTTATTTTAAGTTAAAAACTTACGTTTTCACTTTTTACGTTGTAAGAAGACACAAATACACAGATATATCACAAAAACACAAGTTTCTACTTCATGAACATGTATTATTAACAATTTCTAAAATTTAAAATATGTGACTTAGTGTACACTTAATGTCTCGAATATTAGGTTCAAAATGAGTCACAGATCCGACACAGAGCGATCCGACTCGGATAGGTTAGGTTAGAAGGTTAAGGAACGAAGGCTAAGGTTAGGTTGTTAGGTTCTTTTTTTATGACCACCCAGAAAACTTTAGTGTAACAGTACTTTTAGTATTTTTAAAGACTCTTTTTTAATAATGCGAAGGTTATAATTTGGAAAAGTGTGTGAATTCGTAAATTTAGACATGTTGTCAAACACAAAATGGCGGATTTATTTAGTAAAAATAACAAGTTTTAAATATTTTTTTTTATTAAAAGTAAATGTTTGCCTTGGTTTTCATGTATGTAATATTTAATTATTAACATTTCTCTATCGAATAAAATTTTTTTCTAGCTTGAAAAACGAGACGTACTGTTCGGAATTTTTACCACTGCAGTCTACAAAACTGTTTAACAATTACTTTTAATAATTTCCAGAACATCTCATCACTATGACGTCAGAAAAAAATGCCCAAATTGGGCAGGCGCGCGAAGCATTTCAAATGTTATACCAAATATCACAGCTTCTTAGCACAGGTCTTGATCAGGATACTCTCTCTATTTGTATAAGATTGTGTGAACTAGGTGTAGACCCAGAAGTTTTAGCACATGTCATAAAGGAAATAAGAAAAATGGGGGAGAATATGGTGCAGAACAAACCCATAAACAATCAGCCCTAGCAATAAATCATAAGGCACTACTAAAAAATAATTTAAAATGTCGCTCATTTATTAGCATATGTTATAATAAGGAAATTAAAATAAATTTATCATCCTTGTAAGATAAAGTTACAAATAAACATACACTGCTAAAATAAAATACAAATATGCAAACCACTTTTTATTTCTATTTAAAAAATTAACCATATTTAATATGTATTGCCTGCAACTTGTATTTTAGTATAAAACATAATCTACAGTTTTACAAGAGGTCTATAAGGAAGATTGGCAAAATAATTCTTCATTACAACATCAGTAAAACTGAAGTTTCTGTAATTTACAAAAAATACATTGGGATTCTACAATATGGGAAACAAATAAATATGTTGAATCCGATAATTGCATGCAATACATCATAGACATAATAAAATAATAACAATTCTAATGTTCACTGTACAGAACTAAGAGACAATTTTTCAATAAACAATATTATGTCGAGTGAAATTATAAGCAATCAGTATGGAACTGAAAAATATCACAGAAGCAGATAATCCACTCGATTATGTCTACAATATGTAGTCAGATTTTGTTGTTTTGTTTCAATTATGTCTGGATAGTTTATATCAATCTAAAATGTTTTAATGTTTGTCCATTATTTTCTCTGTGTACCACAAACATACAAGTGGTTGACCAAATATTGAATGAGTGGAAATTGTTTTTATTAAATTGCACAAATAGTGTTAAAAAAATAGTTGATGATACAAACCATTTGAATAAAGTAAACAAAAAAACTAATATTTCAGACATAAAATATGAATGCTAATTAGCCAAAAAATTTTAATGTTGAAATTGATGCCAAACTTACTATAACTCCAAGATGTTCTTGGTATACCAATAAATAATTTATTTATAGCTGTATGAAGTATTTTAAATTGATATAATTTTCTATCCTTATCTAAAATGTGATTGTACATTATTTTTGGCCCTCCAGGATATGAGAAATTGATTTCTATTGGAAAGTTTGGCTTTGACCCTGGCTTTGTCCTAATATTGAGGGATCTTCAAAAATAGGTTGCTGCGGTTTAAACTGCTCTGCAGATAGTCTTGTGAACATTATACCAATTCCTTCAATTAAGGCAAGGAGGACACCACCGACTAAAGCACTGCCAGCCATTGCAGGAACACCTGAATAAATAATCACATAAATAACAAATAATCATACACTATTTGTCTACATGTTCAATCAAAATATGATCATTTGTTGGTGGACTGGTAAATAGTATAGATAACGCCAAACTTAAAAGATGGTTGTGGCTGACGCAGCACAGTAGAGAATATTATGTGCATGCAGGAGCAAGAAGGATATTAGGGAGCACACCCATCTATCCTTTGAAGAGTCCTCGGTTTGCATGCAAATTTGTACTTATGTGTGCTCTGTATTTGTACCCTGCACACTTTAGTGTTTGCATTGTTATTTCGTTAAGAAAGGTCTTTTTTTTATTAAAAACTAACATCACCGGCAACATAAGAGAAATCAAGAAATATGGTAACATTTTAATGGATTTAGCCACATAATTTATAGTGAAAAAAATGTAATCAAAAACTAATAGACTAGTTTTTAAATAGATAATTAGATTTTAAAATTATTATGTGACAACTCTAGAAATAGCAAAGATTACACAAAGCTGCACTCACAGCTCACTTCTCTGCTTACATAAAGTTTGCACACACAATAAAAAAATTGCACAGTTTTAAATGCATAAAGGCATGCAACATCAAATTTTCTGTTTTTTCCATTTCTGATTTGCATATATCTCTAGTCTCACTTACTGTATGACAATCAGCAACATTTCAATCAAATTATTTATTTCAGTCCCCGAAAGAGTTCAGATCAAAATAAGTGAGAATTGGTTTAGATACTGAATGATACAAATTCAGAACCCAGGTCATCTTTGAAGAAACAGTCATTGTATTGACAGGGCTGATAGATTACATATTTAAACTGATTACCACCAATTTTTTTTTTAATTTGCTTATTACTCATCTATGACTACCTACATAGTCATAAATAAGTTGTCAGTTATGCTATATTAAGATACTCCAACTTAGGTTGAAGTCTCCCATATAAATGATTGCTTAGAATCAGTGATGACATATTTCTTCATACAGTATATACAATGTTTGGTAAATGTAAATAACTTTAACTCTGGCATAATTCAATTAAAATAAATTTTAAACGATAGAAAAAATCACTAATGAATTTATCAATAATCAGAATTTCAGATTATAGTTTTGGAAAAAATAAATAGTGTGATTTTTACTATAGAAATCCGCCATTTTTTTGTTGTCAATATGTCAATTCTGCTCATATTTTTTGGTGGTCATAAAAAAAATAACCTAACCTCGAAGGTTCCGCTTCCTATATTTATCATGTTGGCAGAACTGTATATTGAGTTTTTGAAGTCAAATAAATAAAATGGTGGATTTCTTAGTAAAAATAACAAGTTTTAAATATTTTTTTTCTCAAAAACTATAAGCGACCGCCGAATTCTGCTTGTTGATTAATTCATTAGAGATTTTTCTGTATCGTTTAAAATTTATTTTAATTGAATTACGCCAGAGTTAAAGTTATTTACATTTGCCCAATGTTTCTACAACACAGGCCAGTATAAACTCACAGTAGGGGTAATATTAAAAAAGATGATGAAACTTGTCTTACCATTTCTAGCCGCGAGAATGCCACCGGTCAGTGCTCCGCTCATTATTGAGTTCCAAGGGTCCTCTTTCTGACGTAAGTACACTAGAGTACAATCAATAGTGGAGAACATACCACCCCATACAGCAAAGTTACCCGCCACTATCGGCGAGCGTTCTTTGATCGCAGCCAAGCTTCCAAGCTGTAGAAAATCAACACAATGAAATATATACTGATTTTCAAGGCCTTGAATCTACCATGAAACATATATCATACCATTTTACGATTGAAACCGACAGGAGCATTCCTAAATCCTTTAATCGAGTGAAATATACCTCCTCCAATAGCTCCCATTATAAAGGCACCACCAGAGTCATCGAGTATGCGCCAAGGACAAGGTTCTCTTGAATATTCATCCATATTTTATAGGTTAACAAAACCTTCTGAAATGTATTAGATAAGAATATAACCTCAATAATAAAGTGACATGTGTAATTTATTATTTATTTATAGAAACTAACTAACAATATAGAACAAATAAAATGTTAGTGATTTGCAAAACACTTTTTTTAGCAATATTATGTTTTATTAAATCATCCTCTGAAATATCGTTCTCACTTCTCACCGATACATAATTAATTAACCACAGATTAAAAAAGTCTAAAGAATAGAACTGGTCGTCTATAATTCTATAAACTTATCTATGGATAATTAGAACACAAATGGTGGCAGATATTTTTTTTAATCGGTAAAACAGTTTTATTTACATATAAATTTACAACATTAAATTTATCTAAATTGCATAGGCAGAGTTTAATATTCTATTTTTTAAGCCCGATTTACAGATTTACTTTAGTGAAATGTTTATCGAAGTAACTAGTGTAAACCATCGGACAGTAGCGAGTCAACTTGGTTTGCAACCTGCCTAACAACAAGGTCCAAATGGAATCCCTTTCTAACTTTCTATTTTTTTGGTGCAAGTGCACACATCGCTCTTCCGCTTAACCCCCCGCTAGACTAGTCACTTACCGTAGTGTAAACAGTCAAATTAGTACAATGGCTGGTGTTACTCTTATAAGTGATCAATTGCAGCAAAACCCAGATTATTACCTACAATTTCCACTAAATCTCCTGGGTAAATGATTCAGAAATTGGTGGATCAAGGTCAACTCGGAGAAGAGTAAGACGATTGCATTTAATTATCACTTGGACTACCAAGTGTCTGATCTGAGTCGTGAGTCTGATGTACCTATATCCTCGACCACCCAGGCGAGGACGACGTTTTTGAACGGTTTCGTTTATATTAGGCTAGTATTTTGATGCGTTTTCGACTGCTTCAATGAACCATTTGCTTAACTCTCTAAACTGTCCGAGTAGCGTCCAGACGCTCACTATGGAGATCGACGTTACATTGATACAACCTTCTTTTTTTAAAGGTATCGTTTGCCGAAACATGGTCATTTATCAAGTAAATATAACATAATATTTCTGTTGTTTCATCAGTATTTCAGTGTTCTAGTTCATTGCTGAACATAGGCCTCCACAAAAGACGGCCAGAAAGCACGATCCTAAGCCACCTGCATCCATCGACTTCGAGCATATTGACACTGGGCGTCGCTCCATTTAGTAGTAGTCTGTAGACTAAAATAGTCGATATGAGGTTAGCAGTCGAGAACTTTGTAAATAATTTGTAGGCAGATTGTGTATAACTATTCGTTTGTAAAATAGATTGTTTGAAGTGTACTACATAAACGTAGTGATTACTTTCTCTCTGGTGCACTGTCAATCAGTGTCAACTGTCATTAAATTAAAGTAATTCTTGAAGTATATTAGGAAGTAAGAATAGAAAAGAAAAGAATTTAAATTGAAAATCGCCTGGGATTCTGCATATTTAAAAAAATAATATAAATACAATGACAATTCACAATTTGTATATTTTTGATAGATACGGCACGTTGTTGTACTATGGTGAATGGAATAGAACCAAACAATCTGGAATGTCTAGAGAAGAGGTAAGTGATATCTAAAACTTTTATGTTATTGAATTTTATTTCGTTTTTTATATATTTGACGACCCCATTGGCGTGGGGAGTCTGCCCCTTGCGCCAGAGGGTGTGGGTTCAATCCACACTACTGGAAAAATATTATGTGATGAACATAGTGTTTGTCCAGTGTCTGGGTGTATATATATGTATTTATGGAAAAACTTCAAACAATACGTCTCGTTTTTCGAGTTCCATATATGTATATTGTATATAATTTAACAGTGAAAGTTGTTGTATATAAAAAAAAAGAAGGATATCTTATGGTTTTCATAATAACTGTAATTACACTTTAAAAGCTAAGAAACTACTGATCTACGGATCAGTAAATTCTTCATATTGTGATAAATCTGTAAATATTGTTGTATATAAAAATGAATTTATTCTATTGCAGGAAGGAAAACTTATGTACGGAATGCTATTTTCAATCAAATCATTTGTCAGCAAAATATCACCATTAGATCCGAAGGAGGGTTTCCTGTACTACAAAACATCGAAATACACAATTCACTGTCTAGAAACACCGTCCGGACTGAAATTTGTGATTAACACTGACAACCAGGCTCAAGGTGTCAGAGAACTCTTAAAAAAGATATATGCTGAGATTTATGTAAAGTATGCAATCAGAAACCCTCTGTGTGCCATTGGAGAACCCATCACTAGTGAATTATTTAAAAATAAATTGGACTCTTTCATAAAGCAATCTCCTATACATGCTGTTAGGGTACCTTGAGGTGTTAGTTTTTACTATCATGAAATTTATATATTACTGAACATAATTTATCACCAGAGTGGTGGTGTGAAAAGATATCAAAAACTTGATTTTATGATAAATTGTATTTAAATATTACTATTAAACTGTTGGTTAATTTGTTTAAATTTTCCACATAGTATTTGTGAGTCACTTAATAATAATGTGAATAAACCTAAAGAAATGCATGTAATATCATTGTAAAATGTATATTGCTTTGAAGAGTAAATTGTACATATTAATATTATTGTAAAACTGTATTATAAATTCTATGCAATAATTAGTGTAATGTAATAAAAAGAAGATATTTAAACATTAGTTTATTTCAAAGTAAAAAAAGAAGCAAAACAAAAGTAATTAGTTTCAACTTGCTATGTGCAACCCGTTCCTGAGGAAATTGGTGGTGATTTTTCTTCAATTTTATTACGGCTGTATAATGAGTATGTATGGAAGCCTCAGCATACTAGTTTGACTTGCTCTTGACCGGTTTTTGTTTGTACTAGTAGTTTGCTGTTAGCCCAGTGCATTTAACAGCTTGGTGCAATAAGTGTTTTCTTTCTTTCTTTGTCGTTATAGGTCGCGGGTAAACGATCCGCGGCTACGGGAGAAACAACTAACTGATGCACGAAAAGAATGTCATGATGCCGTCCGCACCAGTGCATCTCCACACACTAACAGGGTTCAAGGAAACGAAAAATGAAAAATTAGACTAACAAGAGGCCAAGACATTACGAACCTTTGACTGACATTGATAGTGGAACCTATCTGGAAGATTATGATTTAGAAAAACGAACATAAATTATGTATTAACGCGTGGGATCAATAATGTAATCACCGAATTGCCTACACTTGATACCATGTATCTTTTAATACTAAAAAATCGTATTTATTTTCTTTATTCGTTTCGTTTTTAGTTGCTAGGTCCGGCTCCTTTTATGGGGACAAAACACTGCGACGCTCCACAGCGCGACAAAATTAATTGTTTCCCCGAATTGTAAGTACTCTAGATATGCAGGGAGGGCAATCAGCCAAATCCCTATCGTGGCAAGTGTATACAATCCCTATAACAACCCCTTCACCCCCATGAGATAGAATTTCGGGGTAAAAAGCCTAAATTAAGGAAAGCGATTTATTAGAAGGACTTCAGATATTGGTGATTCATAATTTGTCTGCTTAAGTTTACATTTCGAACAATAGATGTCATTACAGATCGGAGTTTTCTTCATCTTTTTATTAATCAGGACCTAAGGAAATCATCAGGACATCAGGAAATAAGGACCTGCTTGCTTTGTGAGTTATCACGATTCCACCAATGTCAAGTTATTCTTAAAATTCTAAATTTTATAATAAATAAATAAATAAAAACAATTATCGATATATATCATCGTTTTTTTTATCGCGATATATCGATACTTATTTTAGACTATCTAATTCGTATCAATTTCGATATATTTTTTAACGCAACTTCTGGTTCGTCTGGTTTCGTGTTTAATGTTATTAGATACTCTTTGCATGCTCCTCGCACATCATCAACTTTAAAAAATCTTCAACTATTTTCTTCATATTTTTTTACGAATTTTGAATCTTTAGTAAATATGTATGAATAATCATGCGAAAAACTAACGATATATCGATATTTTTTACTCGATATTTATCGAAAGTTTTTCAAAATGTCGATACAATAAATATCGATATATTTTTCTACTTGCCATCCCTAATCTAGCTAGGAATGACATCAGGGTTGGATTGTCTGATGAAAAATTGTGTAAAAGTAAAAGAGGTACCCATATATTAACTACAAAAAATTTGTCAAAATATAGTACACTTTAAAATTTTGATTATAACAGATATTAATTTACTCCTCTTCCCAGTTTAACAATTTTTCAGTATGAGTTTCATCCTTAGCATATAATCTTATTAACATATTCTTTTTTTTTTTTTTTTTAACATTGCCTTTACTGTAGGTTAAAATTATCCTGTGTTGTAAGGACATTTAACATACATAAATTTCACGTGGACAAACACCCAGATGCGAAACAACTATCTGTGGGTCGCACAAATAGTTGTCCCGTGTGGGAATCGAACCCACAACCCCTGGCGCCGAAGCCAATACCTTGGCGACAGCACCACGCAGTTACCTCCTCCGTAGGAATAAAATCAGTATAATTCCTACTTTTATTACCATCATAGATAAGACATTTATATATATATATACTGAAACCACTTATTACACATACCATATTTGATAGCGTAGTCCTAAGACAATAAAATGGTGCCTATGGCTTATACTTATTTCTTATCTTAGTTTAGGAAATAATAAAATAGCAGTACCTATTTTCAGACATTTATGAACTTTACCTAACTCATAGTGCAATATGCCAAGTTACTCTTCAACAAGCGAAGTAAAGAAAAAAAAAGTTCATTAAACGGGAAGTCCCCGTAAGTAATTAATTCATAAAGATTATTTATAGGTAATCCGTGGTAATAATTAATAAAGACACGTAGTAATATCCACTTTGTGTTGTTTGAAAATTTTACAATATTTTTATTACAACTCGATGAAACTTTATATAAATTAACGAAATTGTAGTATTTTACACGTTTTTTTAAATTGTTGAATTTTTTTCCCACTTTACATCTCAATATTTTTTTTGATGAAAAAAATAAAGGGCATGGAGTAACGCAATCTACCTATTCATATTTATATTTTGATATAGTGGCTTAGCGACGTCTAGTACTATTTCTCACCAACAATTGAATTATGGATATACGGAGAACCGTCTCTGTGTATTATAAAGTGACCATCTAAAGAAATCATAAGAGACAATTTTTATAAAATTAAATTACACAAAATTTGTGTTTGTTTAAACATTTTTTATAAGGCCGACATTTTCGCTGCAATATCCTTCACTGTATTTATGCCATTCTTTTGGATCGTAAGAAAAATCTTGGCGCTATTTATTGTTTAAATTATTTTTAGTGATATTATTTTACTATTTAGTATGATTTAAGGGTTTTAGGCTTAAGCGTTAGGGATATATATTTTCGAGAGTTTTTTACACTGCTACTGTCTATTATCTAATCTATGGTTTATTTGACATAAAGTTAATTAAAACCGTGTATTTGTTTTTGTTTTCATTTCCTTCTTACGCTATTAGAGATTTGCTGTTGTATTTTAAATGATTGAGTTACACAATAAAATATAATGGCCCAGTTGTTTAAGCATCATACAATTTTTAGTCTTTGTGATGAGTGAAACAGATGATACGGATGTTCTTCTACTGATACCGCCGAATTTTTTCCTTGTTTGCAGCTCAGACTCGGACGATTCGTTGCTAAAAACCTCAAGAACAGTTGTACATAAACCGGTTTCTTGCACCGCACAAGTATTAGGCAAGTTAGTTGACCAGGTGCATTCCTTAGAGTCTAGGTTAGATTCTATTGAATTAAATACAAGCGACACATTTTCAAACACTGGTTCCTTAAAAAATAAAGCTTGGAATGACGGCTGTAGGACTGTAGATCGAAAATCCTTTACGTTTCCACGCAGACGTCGTCGGAAAACGTCCAAAAGGGATAAATTTAGTGATTATTCCTTGGACAGTTTCGATACGAGTATACATGAAAAATACATCCCTGCGTTGAAGCTAACTGGGACACGTTGCCACACAGAAATCGTAAATGATTCACAAAGTATGGACGGCGATATAAGTAGTATAACTTCGACGCCAAGTAAAAACAATGATAAACTTTTGCTGCACGAAATAGACGAGTTTTTAACAAAAGTCGAAGCCTACGAAAGTCCTGAAACAAGATGTAAACGTGATGAGACACTTTGCCCGGAAAACGTTATAAAAGCTACTGGAAGTTATATTGCGCAGCAACTAGAGTCAAAACATGATGAAAATAAAATAGTGCTGCCAAGCGGTAGGAGGGTTTCCAGTAATGTTTTAGACAAATATATTTATCTAGTCAAGAATAAAGACAAACAAACTGATAAAGTATCACAGAAAAGTGATGATGTCACAGAGAGTTCTAATAACAATTCCAATCCCATACAACAAATAAAACAAGACAACAAGTCGCCTAGCATAAGAAAATTAAACTTCTCAGAAATCAAAGAAGCAAACCCGACATCTACTCCAAAAAAGTATCCCCATTGCTCAAAACATGATAGTTTTAAGCCATCTTCAAATAAAATTTATGACCGCGCCTCCAAAGTTTTGGAAGATTATAAAGCTCAGAGTTACAACAACAATACCCCTTCATCTCTGACGGACACAAATGAGTACTTATCTGAGAAAGGAGACTTTAAATTGCCACAAATGAGGCCATTTATGAATATAAAGGACAAAATGACAGCATTGCAAATGGATTCCATGGATACAGACCTTTTAAGCCTAAGTGAGCTATGGGGGGAAAAGGGTGAAAGACTAGAAAGAGCAGAGAGCTTAAAATTAGAGGAAGAAAGACTGAAAAGAGAGGTAAATATCACTTTTAATGATAAACATACTTTACAGGAAAGTTATAAGAGATTTATTAAAATAAAAAACATTTTAATATGTTGTCTTTTTGTATTTAATTATTTAGATGATATATATAGATATAGATAAATGTGTGTGCCTACCCTGTTGTCACAAGGGTGACAACGGGGTAGGGTTCATGTTATTAACAAACATTTGTCTACAATTGTAACAATTTTATGCATGCTAACATTACTGTATACAGGTAGCCTTTTCTAAGTATATCAATATTTTTAATTAAATTCTAGACATAAATAACCTTTTATTTAATTGTAATAAATAAATAATACCGCATTTTCAACAAGTTCTGTTTTTTAGGGAATAGAATGGCAATTTATTATTTCAATAAATGTTTATACTACCGAATCTGAACCTCCTGCGTGAATTCGGGCACCTTTAGAAAAGCCACCCTGTATAAATAAAAACATGATCTTTAATTTATGTCTATGTAGTTGAAATATACAATTGAATATATTTTTCTGATATAACATAACTATGAAAGTATAATCATAGATGGTATACATATGGCTTTTTGTGAACAGTTTTGTCTGATTTTAACACAATTTTTATAGTTGGGGTAGTTATTATTAACTCAATAATTAAGTTCTCATTGTGTTAGCATTGCGAGGTCATGATCCAGCAATTGCAGAGGAAGATCTTGGAGCAACAGGAGAAGTTAGCTGTAGCCATTAAGGTTGACCGGGGCAAGGATATAGCCATCAACAAGCTGAGGGAGGCTTGGCTCAAGCTCACTCATAGTTTAGACCGTGCTGAAGAAAGGCACAGGGCGGCCCTGGAGAAAATGGTTAAAGAGGTGGACAATTTTAAAATGGTCGCTGATGAAGCTCAGAAGGTATAATTTAAACAATCATTTACAAACATCAATCAACTTTCAGAAGACAAATTTTTAAATTTTTATTACATTTATTTAAGTAGATATACAAGATAAGGTAGCAAGCGAGTTGGTGGTTCACCTGATGTTAAGTTATAACTGTCTCCCTTATATGTATTGATATTTGCTACACCCATAGGGTTGCATATGTCTTGCCATGTTTGAATTAAGTGGGCCCCAGCTAACTCACTCACCAGATGAAATGCAGAAGACTTCACACTTCATTTCCACTTCTCACCAATCTTATATATTTATATAATTCAATGTTTCATTTTGTGGTTATGAGTAGTGATATTGATACAATAGAATTAAAGAACAGGATTAAACAATTATGTACCAAGTTAAAGTATTTTAATATTTTCCTTAACATGTCCACATGGAATATTTTCGAAAGGCCAATATTTTAGTCTGATTGCCATGGCTGAATTGACAACAATACTTTACTCTATTACAGAAAACTCGCCACTTCGAAGCGGAGCTGTACAAAGCTCTTGACTTGGCGCACGACTATCAGGACAAGTGCAAGCAACTTACCACTGAGAAAAAGGAACTGCAGGACAGCACCGAGAAGTCCCTCGCAGACAAGGAGGAGGTGCTGAGGAGTAAAGAAAAAGAAATAGAGGTGCTGAAAGAAAATTACGAAACCTTCATGAGACTGAACAAGCAGTCGACCGATTGTGTGAAAAATTTAGAAGAAGCTTTGGAGAAGGTAGGCCGATACTAATAACTAGGAAATTATTCCGTTCCATGTTGTCTTTAATGTTACCTTTTGTCATATTTACACAAAAATAGGAACTATGGTGTCTCTTCATCCTAAGACATTCTTTTTATTACTGCTATTTTATCTTGGAATCGTAACCAAACAGAGGCTATAGAAGACATTAAAATTAAAAATGTAAAGATAAGACTGTCGCAAAATGTTTTCTCCGCTTCGAGAATTTTACGATGTTTCAAGTCATCATTGATGATGAAATTTGTAGATATTTTGAAATCTCATTAAAACTTAGTTTCGCTTGAAAACTTCGCCATTGCTTGGCGGTCCGCCATTAGTGACCCCTGGTTTAGGCAATGGCGTCATTTAATTTCTCAAAACGGACCTCGAGTGAGTCTAAACTATACATTAATTTAAAGAATCCAGTTAATGCTTTAATCAAAAACTGTGTCCCTCACATTGTTCATCAAGGAAAAATCTGAGCATGATTCAACTAAGAGTAAAACGGACGAGCTCAGCCGTAAGATGCAGTCATGCCAAGAGGAGATGTTGCTGGTAAGCCAAGAGAAGGACATATTAAAGGAGAAAGTGAACGAAGAGAGATCCAGGTGCAATCTTCTCGAGAGGCAACTTTGCGACATGCAAAATAAAAACAGTGACCTCCTTAAGAAATGTGTAAGTAAGCTAAGGTAACTGTAAACTAGAGTTAACAAATATTTTTATAATTATCAAGTCAAATGAATGCATGCAAAACAATACTAATGTAGCGCATATATCACAATCCGTACGGTTTTTTCAAACTGTACTCAAAGTTGCTTTATTTATAAATATGAGGTGTATCTAATACAAACAACCATTTAATGCTTTATTGCAGTGTGGGTAAAAACTAATGGCTAAAATAACTTATTTGCACATTAATTTATTCTTAAGGTTAACGCTATTATATGTTGTGTGTGAATGTAAATTTTACAGTAGACATAAATACGCTCTTAGGTACGCATTTCATGCTGATGACAATTCTTCTGGTTTGATTATCTTTTCAAATATCTACCATATATCTATTAGTAACTAAAAGGTGTCTGTGATCTACTACCATATTGCTAAAAAGTTTTTTTCCGTATGTAACAATGACTTATTCAATCTCCTCACCAGGAGTCATTGGAGAATGACGTGAAAACTCTCCGTAAGCACTTGGAACTGCAGAAGAACGAGCTGAAGGGCCATTACCAGCAGCAGTTGGAGGATGCTGTGCTGTCGAAGCTCAAGGAGTTCCAGGTGCAGCTCGACCTAGCGCAGAGGGAGATGGAGGGGGAGGCGAGGAGTAAAGAGAATGCTATAGTCGACACTTACAACAACCAAATAGCCCATATTGAGGAACAGTGAGTGATCAATATAATAACTTAAGAATTGTACAGTTGACTGATTATTTTTGTGATTGCATTTGCGAGATACAAATAAAGAAATAACATATAAATATGCACTAATAAAATTTCCTTTCATTTGGATGAATGTAAAATACCTGTGTCATTATATGAAAATGATTATATTTAAAAATGAATGTAGTAAATTCATGAGAAAAAATTGAATAAATGTTACAGGCACAGATTGGAAGTGAGTGTACTGGAAGAGAAACAGAAAGAGGAAATCAAACTTTACAGGCTACAGTTGGCACAAGCCAGTGAAAAGATTGGCTTGTTAGAGGTATGTATATTAAGTAAACAGTTTTTTCTTCTCAAATTTACAATATTTTGTAGTAATCATTAGTCAATCACATCTTTTCTGCTTATGTCTCAAATAGGTAGGGTCGGCATATCATGTCTTTTCCTTCGACTTTTTGCTGTATCTCTATACTCACCCCTTTCCGAGATATCAATCTTTCACACATTTCATCCAAATTTTTCTCTGTCTTCCTCTAGACTTACCACCCCCCAACTACATTAATACTCAACACTCTTCTAGTCACATGACGAAGTTTATTTATTACTCAGAATTTTAAAGCCATTTATAATTATATTTTTTATCAAACTATTGACAGGCCCCGACTTCGCACAGTTGCAATGTGTTATACATATAAACATTTCTCTTAGTGTTTTTTTACTTGAGTTTTTTCACTAGAGTATCTAGTAAATAAACCGCATCAAGCCATCAAGGTCCATTGCATAGTTTAAAAGATCTAAGCATACATAGGGACAGACAGACATCTGTTTTATACTATGTAGTGATGAGATTGCATGCAGTTTTTATGATGATGTTGAATATAATAGTTAATGTGAATAAATAACATTTACAATTAGCATTGTATGATTTCCAGAATAAATTGGAGACATATCGGCACCGACGTGGACAAATAGCTTCGCAGTTGCACAGTGTGATGGAGGCGCAATGGCGGCAAGCGCTACAAATTCTCACTAACGGCCAGGCCGCCAGTCAGCCAGCGAGCCAGCCCATGAGCCAGCACGCGAACCAGCCACCGGCCATGTTAGACAGCAACTTAGCCAACCACGGTGGCTCTGTTGGCTTCTCGTCGTTGGATCTTTCCAGACCAAATAGTGGTATGTAAGAACTTAACCATTTTGCAATGTACAATAATATACTTAAATACCATTAAGTTGAAATCAAGTTCTGGGCAAAAGGTGGTTATACCAATTGGAATGGATTTATTGTTGCTGAAAACTTTTTTTGTGTTTATAATTATAATAATAAGATATTATTAAAAGACACTAAAATTTTTCTAAATATATTAATCGGCTGTTGCACGAATGGGCAGGCTCGTCCGGGTAAGTACCACGACCTCACAGAAGACCGGCGCGAAGGGTATTATTGTACTTCTGGGTGGCATCGCTTCTGCAACCATACCGGTGTTGCAAATGTCAATGGGCGGCGGTTATCACTTAACATCAGGTGAACTGCCAAATCGTTTGCCATTTTCTCACTGGAAGTATGACAAATACTTTCGCGTTTCGTCTGGTGAGTGAGGTAGCCGGAGACAAATTTCCAAAAAGGTTGTCAACGCATCTGCAAACCCTCGGATGTAGCAGATGTCTATGGGCGGCGGTATTCACTTAACGTCAAGTGAACCGTCTGCTGGTTTGGAAACTTTTCACATAATAAAAAAAGGAAAAACTTGGACATAATTATACCATACAATGAATCTACTATGCAAACTGGTATTTCAATTCTATATATGTGTTAGGATTCTTGATATGTATTATGATTTGATAGTAAGTTATAGTGGATGTTTTCATTCTCTTTCCACAAGGTGATTAATGAAGCAGTGATAATTCCGGGTCCGAGTAATAGTTTCTAATACAATGTATACTCAAACATAAGCAGGTGGTGCCGATACCAATGAATTTGTTAATTGAAATTTTAAGCACCAATTAATCAAATGCTCAGTGGTGAAAGAAATCAAGGAATTGAGGACAATGGCATGTTTTCGAAATAATAACAATAAATATTTCGAAGGTATGTGAAATGAGAAGCATTTTGTCTGCCAATGGGTGTAAAAAATCTAAGTAAAGTAACATATTACACATACATATGTTTAATGTTTAATATGTTAATTTACTTTTAGTATAGGTGACTAAACATACTACTACAGGAATAGGACTACTTGTGTATACAAATGTAATCATTGAATAATGACTACTATTTCTATTTTAACTAATTTCATACTTGCTTATTTGATAAAGTTTAACTTCTAAACAAATGTCATTGGACCCACTGCTTCATGTCATCCTCAAAGCTATCACTTGTATCACTTTCATTCCAGTATTGTATATCATGGTGTGGTTATTTCAGTGGTAGCGGGTGGTAGCAGACGAGCGCACAGACACGCGGATCCTCTCAGCGACCACGAGCTCCAGCAATACGTCAACCTGGTAAAGCTATTCTCGCACTCTATCAAAAACTCTTCTAGCTTTATTCCCTACACAATTTCAATGGTAGAGTTGTTGTTGTATCTGTAAAGCCAAAACTTTATATTACCCTTTTATATTTAGTAATATAATAATTAGGTAATTCCATCCTCCGCATTTTTTTATATTACTTTATCATTTTTGTCTTACACAATTCATTAATCAGAATTTTCCAGGGTTTCATACTCAAAGGGTATAACGGGACCCTTAACTATTACTAAGGCTCCGTTGTCTGTCTGTCCGTTTGTTACCAGGCTGTATATCATGAAACATTATATTTAAAAAGTTGAAATCTTCTCAAAAGATGTATGTATGTTTCCGCTATAACAACAAATACCAAAAAACAGAATAAAAAAATATTTAAGTGGAGCTCCCATAACAGACATGATTTTCTTGCCGTTTTTGTAGATAAAGATACGGAATACTTTGTGTTCGAGTCCGACTCGTACTTGGCCGGTTTTTTTAGTTTTGTGCCCTTTGTAGTTATTTTTTGTATGCAACACTAAGTGGAAGGTGAAGTTATATTTATTTCCCCATGCTCAAAGATCTAAAGATTAAAATAGCAAGGTATTTTATTACATTGGATTTGTTCACTATCAATAATTTCATCACCAAGCAGAGTATACATTATCACTCAGTCTCCTCATAGAACTGAGTCTATAGTGTGAAAGTCTGTAGGTATTCCTTATAGTTTCTATGGATCTAAGTTTTTTTTAAATTTATTTTCGATAAAAATACGCTCATTTATCGCTTGTTTCCCGGATACAAATCCCCGGATTCCCGGATATTTTCGCGCCGTGATTTTGGCCGCTTAGCTTAGTTGGTAGTGTCTGAGCGCGAAAAGTGTTCGATCATTTATCTATAAAAAAAATTACAACACAAATGTTTTTGTCGATTGCAGTTACTATCTAAGCCGGTGGGCTCGGATTTGAACCTGGACACGGAGGTTGAAGAGCTGAAGTCCGGTCCATTGCACGAGCCACCCACCAGCGATCGGGCGGACAGAAAAGAGCGTTCCGCGAAACGTTCTCTCAACCCCAACAAGCCGCCGTGGAAAGCTTAGCAGTCGCTGTACCTGGGCAGTAAATCCAAGGAGTGCTCCGCATTAGATACAGTGTACTCTAGTGATAGTGGTTTAAGCCCGATCTTGGCTGTGGTTGTGTTTTGTTACTATGGAATATTGCTAAGAGGTTCAGAGTTCTCTTGGAGCAATTGTGCCTTATAGATGCAAGCGAACTACATTTTCAAGTGATGTAGTTGGAGACTCATTACTATCAAGATGAAAGCTGTCCTGGTGTCAAAGGCAAGGGATTGAGTGATTGTATTGTCTTGTTAAGCTTATGGAAATTATAATACCATAACAATAGCTCTGAATTTTAAATGTTACTATATTGTATTGTTTTAGATGGTACAAGATTTTGCAAAACAAAACTTTAAAAACATGATTCCGCCCCATTTTACACTGCCTCGGTATTTTAGAGGTTCTACTAGTAAGTGTATCTAGTTATTTTGTAAGAGATTTTAATGCAATATTGAACCTAAGTTATTATGTATTTGTTTTCTAAATGATTTTGTATGTTAAATATGTCCAGTGTCATTCCATTGTACTGTTGACAATAAATTTTTTGAATTATTTTGTTTATTTCTACTAACACTTGATTTATCATAGGACTTGACTCGTAATGAAGATATATTTAGATTTTATTTTTGAAAAAAATTATATAACAAATTTAGGGCACATCTCCATACTTTTGTTAATAAACAGGCTTGTTTTCATACGACAGTCCCTTCCATTTATGTTTGCAATAGAGTTTTGCTTTGTTATAATTTCTTTTACTGTCATAATGGGCAGCCTGGTCCAGGGAGTCCTATGGGACTCAAGACTAGCAAGAAGTGATTGGTAAGTATGTAGTAAGTTACAATTCTTTCGCGTTTTACCTGGTGAGGTGAGCGTGGTGTCCGGGGCATACTGTTTTGAAGGTAATTATCATTTAACTATTAAATATTAGGTTAGGTTGCCAGTTTCTCACATAAAACAGTCACAAGCTTGTCCTCCTTAGAGATTAATGAGGGTCTTCAAGGGACTAAGCCAGTGCTCTCAAAACCTGAGGCTAAATTGCTGCTTATTATCAAGTAATGAGTTACTCAGGCACGGGTCAATGATCAGTTATTCATCGACACATGATAAACCTAGTTTTTTTTTGTCGGTACCTTTAAAATGCAGTTACTTGTATAATTGAAACAAATGACTATTTATCTAGAAACAAATTTATTCATCCGATCCGACAAACTTCAAATGGTCACCCGCTAGGCTAATCGGCTGCATGATAATTTCATCAAAACAGGTCCAGCCGATTTGAAGTCCCTAGAGAACGTACATACACCAATTTTTATACGTATAGACAGATAAAGAAAATCACAAGGCAGTGCTTTAATATAACAGATTTATTGGTGATAAATGCGGTTTAAATATAGACAATACAATATTATTTGATAATACAATGGCATCGTGATTTCTATACAAGTACAATACTAAATAATAAATTTACACTTAACGAATAGTTTAATCACATGATAAATTTATTTAGGCAAGAACTTATTGTAAAATATAATTTCGTAGAAATTTGACTGGAAATGTAATAAACGAAGAAGAAAAACAACAACAGCTAAAGCAATAAAATAATACTCGTATTCGATAAAAAACAGATTTTTACAATTTCTATTTAAACAAACGTTTACAAGTCGGCTGGATAAAAATCGAATAATATTACAAAAATAAAAAATACCTACAATAATGTGCGCTAGTTTTTCACCTTTCTTCGAGTATAAGAAATTTATATTAACACGGATGAATATACGATCGTTAAATAAGATTCTGCAATAACTGAAATTAACAGCGGACGCTGAGAAAAAGAAATTGTTTTGGCGTTATCGATTAAACGTAAACGAGCGAACAACATATAGACAAACTGGTTAATTATGAATCATAAACGACGTTATTCGTGTAGCAACGACGAGAGAAAACGAAAATGTAACTATTTACGGACGTTTTAAAAGTAAAAATAAACGCAACAAGTCTATTAAAAAGGTTCATTTAGTAACGTGTAGTATTCGCATTAATATAAGAAAAAGTTAAAAAAATTTATTATCGCCGATGCAACTATTCGAAAAGTCAACCGTTTTATAAACTAGTTAGTTTATCGCAGACTATAAACCGTCCCGTGTGATCGACCGATTGTCAAAATCTCATCGACCCACCACTATTTTAAAATAAAGATGTCAAATACATAGAGCGATTGTTTTTCCTTCTAAATGTTTTACATTGAAAACGCCATTTAACTTTTTAGATCCATCGCCTTTACACTTAACCCTACTCTAGGTTTAGTAAAAAAAAATGCAACATAACTTGAAAATTAAAAAATCTTATTTGGGTTTGTTTCCTTAGTAAGTGTCTAAATGGGAGTGATGATTATAATCGATTACGTGTGATGAGAAATATAGTTTTCAAAGCAATTCAGTTATAATCTCGTTATTTGATTTAAACATAATAATTAACCTTTAATATTTGATCTTTGCTTTAAGTATCAACCAACAACAGTAAATATAAGCTCCAATCTCACATGTGTGGTCTTTTTATAATTTAATATTCTTTCTTTTAATTTATTTAGGATATGCCTTCGTAAATACATGTTAAATATTCTTTCAATTCATTTCATAAATAGTCCAAAACTTCGCCGTTGCGTCAACTTTTGCATAACGTTTTAGCTAAATTATCCTTTAATTTTTAATAATATTTCGCACTGTCGCTTATTGTCTTCACCCATACTTTCGTAATTTCATAATGATGAACGCTAAAATAATTTAATTTGTGAGCCATTTTTCCATGTCATAATACAAGCAAAACTAAAAAAAAACATCGTCGGTAACGACTTTAATCGTCGTCGCGGCGTTATTTCAAAGTTGTGCAAATTAAAAATCAGTTATATGTAATAACCGGTTTTTAATTTATAATAATATTGTATAATAGCAAATATTATCGCTCGAAATCGACCGAAGCTCTCGAAGCCGAATAATCGAATTTACTGCGAGATTACATAACAATAACATACGCTTAACGATTATACGGCCACTTCCAACGATAAGATTTCCACCGCATTGGTCCAGCCATGTTGCATCCCTCTATTGCCTGGATTCCCACAGCTGGACACTGAGTAGTTAATGCGTAAGTCGTTCCATTCTTGACTTTATTTATAGTTTTAAAGTATGGAGTGTAGAGATAACGAGGGGCAATCTTATAAAGTTTTGTGAAAAAATGTCCAACAGTAATTAGTAAATAGTCCAAAAACCCACCGAAATGGCGCTAGCTTAGCAAAGGTGTCTGATTATGTACTTAGCCGAATTATATTAGCCCGTAACTATGTTAACTGTTGATTCACACTACAGTTTAATACCCAGCTGCTACCGTAGGGCCAACAATTTAACGCTTTTCAGAAACAAAAGAAGTTTTCTTATTATCTCTACCCTCCATGTCTTAGTCACACATCTTGTGCGGCACAGATAAAATAGGTTCAGCTTCGACTTTTTAAACAGATTTCGAAGCCGATTTTTTATCTTTGCGCGCACAGATAAAAGACCGTTCACCGGCGAGAGTAACGGGCACTTTTTATACACAGATATCGTTCTCATCATCCCAACCCTCCATGCCTGAGTCGCTCGTCTCGAGCGGCACAGATAAAGAAGGATCAGCTTCGCGTTATAGCGATTCCTTATCTGTGCCGTCGTACGACCAGAGGCCGTTCAGGTGCGGCCGCACCGGAACAGCCTGCAGAGCGACAAGGCCAAGGGGGGCTGGTGCTACGCGAGCGCGGAGGCCGGCAGCGAGCTGTGCTTCGGCTTCGCCTTGTGCACGAACACTTTTATGCAGCCGTTGAAGTCGGCGCTCACGAGCACGTGGCCCGTCTGCGACGAGGACACCATGCCGCCCTCCGCCGCCTTCTCCTGCGCGGGTTACGTTTATACGTTTGCGTTTCCGAATAGAGTAGACATCACACAACACCGATTTACTAACGAAATACATAATTATAGTATAGGATTAGTTGGAAGTTGGATACCAAAACTAGTGAATACAAAAAAAAACACGTATGAATAAAAATGCGGTTGCGCTATGTATGAAATCCCGCCTCAGCATAAAAACTAAGGTCCTAAAAGTGAACCTAGATTCTCCCTCTAAGTTGGCAACACCAACAAACAAGGAGTTATGGAAGTGTTATACTTTTGAGTTTCATCTGGTGAGCGCGGTAACCAGAGCCCACTTTATTAAAAGGTAGCAACGCATCTGCAAATCCCTAAGGCCGTTGCAAAAGTCTATGGGTGGCGGTTATCACTTAACATCCGGTGAACTGCCATCGCGCACGCCACCTTCTCACATAAAATATAAAGTAGCAGATTTGGAGGAGAACTTGAGAAAGGAGAGGGATAGAGGAGGGATAGGTTCCAAATAGGGACGAAATAGAAACAGTATATTTGGAGGAGAAAGAATTGAGAAAAGAAACTGTGATAGATGAGTTACAGGTTACAAAAAAGACAAGATAGAGGAAAGGGATATTTATAGAAGGGAAGAATCGAGAAGGCAGGGAAGAACACTTCGGGAAATCGGGTCGGGAGTAGCTTAAGCTCTCACCGGATTAACAAACGCGAACACAAGATATAGCCACGTTCCACGGCGGTCCTTACCACCGCAATCTATTCATACAGTCAACGATCTTGATATATCAAGCACGTGAGTTCTGACTAGCCCACAACTCCTGCCCCCATCGTCTGTTTTGACTGATCACGACTACTGTTCGATGAGGCTTTAGTAGTCTACTGCTTCACAAACATACTGAAAGCGAAATCGGTTGAGGCAAGGTAGGCCCTGCAGTCCCGGGCTCATAGAATAGGGCTAAGGTTTCCGCTGTCTGTCGTAAAAGGCGACTAAAAGGGGACACGGATTGGCAGCAGCTCGAAGTGGTCTCAAGCTGCTGCAAGATGGCGAGGGAACCGGGGAAGCTATCCTTCTCCAGGGAGTGCTCACGCGCAGTACTGAGCGACACCGGTGCGTTCCGCGGGAGATCCCGGAGTCCCTTCAAACGTACAGAAGGTGACCACCGAGGGGGTTTTAGTGGGTAAGAACCCCACATAACCCTGTCATGTAAGGTGACAGCGTGTATTTCGAAGATGTCCCTCCGATACCAAAAGAAAAAAGGTAAGCCAAGCATAGCTTACCGGGTCGTCGTCTGCCAGCCCCGCAGCCGCTTCGCGCTCGGCGATCATTCGGATCATGTGGTCCGGGTTCGGTGCGAACACTGCGCAAGTGACCACCGCGCTGTGCGCCTTTATACCCTCCCAGAAGTCGTTCCGGTCGCGTCGCACCGAGGTGAACTTTGAGTAGTCGTGGTAGGTCTTCCATATGTATATGCACTGGTTCTCCGAGCCGCTGACGATGTACTTGCCGTCGTGGGAGAAGGAGGCCTTTATCTGGCTGGAGACGTTCACGTAGCCCTTGTATTTGCACGAGAGGTTCAGGTCGCGGAGGTCGTACAGCCGGATCCGGCTGTCGTTCGACGTGACCAGGATCTTGTCGTCGTTCGGCATCGGCTCTATGCCGCTAATCTTCCGCCCGGTGGAGTTCTTCCCGCGGGTGGAGCGCACGTCTATCTGCGTGTGGTACTTTAGCTGGTCCGTAGTGTAGAATATGCAGCGGCCGTCGTACGTGCCCACCACGGCGAACTTGCCGTTCTGGCAGAAGTTCGCAGCGGTGATCAGCTTCGTCTTGCCGTCCACCTCGTTCCAAACCGCAACCTGGACGGATTTTTTGGATTTAAGGTTGTCACACATTTGCTACTTAGGACACGTAACATGCGAGAAACAAGCGAATATATATATAATTATTTGCCATATACGTGTATGACATTGAAAGGAAAAACCCTGAACGGAAAATAATAAATGATTCTATATAGCAATAGAGAGAGATGTTTGGTATATTCAAATTGTATTTTTAATGTCATCATCATCCAGCACGGTCCAGCCATTCTTGAGTAATGCGCTTACCAACATTCATTTTTATTTATATAGATATAGGCATTACACTTATCGACCTGAGAAGAACCGGCGAAAGAAACTCAGCGGAACTGACCTTCTTGTCGGGGATGTTCCACAGACGGAGCTTGCCGTCGAGGCTGCCCGAGAGGAAGTAGCGGTCGTCGCGCGGGTGGAACACTATCGCGGTGACGAAGTCGATGTGCTGGAAGCAGCAGAGGCACTCGCCGCGCGATATGTGCCACAGGCGCACCGTCTTGTCCATCGACGAGGAGAGCAGGAAGTAGTTCTTCGACCAGGACACGTCCAGCAGGTCGGACGCGTGGCCGGAGTACACGCAGAAGGGCTCCGGGCAGAAGGGCGCCGAGGGGCCGAGCGCCCGCCCGTCCCCCACCCCGCTCACCCCCACGCCCACTCCCACCCCCACGCCCACGCCCACCCCCACGCCCACGCCCGCCAGGGCCAACGACTCCTGCGACGGCGTGGGCGAGCACTTCTTCTCCGCGTTGTACTTCGTGCGCATCTCCTGTGCGGCCGTCGGACTCGTAAAATAAGCGAATCTTTGCGATTGACACAAACTTAACGCAACGAGCTAATAAAGGTTTATGAGTGTACTCAGATATATGTGTACGCATGCGTGTTGATGTATGCTTGTTCATATCGACCGTGCTTGTGTATTTTTGTGAGTGTTTACATCGTAGGTGAATGTATTATTGTGATGAATAATGTGAATTTGTGCATGCTTGTATTTTTTGGATGCATGTATTCTTGTGTTTGGTTGTTTAGTGCATGTTTTCTTGTGTGCATGTAGTTTTGTGTACGTTTCTATTTTTAGGTGCATGTGTTGTTCTGCGTGTGTTGCTTTACCTGGAACATGTGGTGGGCGTCGCGCGTGACCCAGACCCTGAGCAGCCTGTCCTGGCCGGCGGTGGCAAGGAGCCGCCCGCACACGCTCATCTTGCAGCACCACACGGCGCCGGTGTGCCCCGTTCCCATCTCCTGCGATTTCCATTTGCCGTCATAACTTATTAATTGAAGTTGAGTTGAATGAACGATTGAAAAATAAAAAATAATCTATGAAGAATAGGCTGTATGGAGAACTCCAAAGCCGTAAAACTATAGTATCCAATAAAAAATATACCTGGTACGATATCACCTGCACGTGTTCAATTTACGCGATAATGACTTCTATATCCAAGCGATAGGGCGGCTTTTTACCTGCACGTGTCGGACGCACCCGTCGAAGTCGTACGGGCCCTTGTGCGAGTTGGAGGCCTTCAGTTTGATGTTGTGGTCGCCCCTCACGTCGTCCGCAATCTCCGCGACGTCCTCCTTGTGGCGGGCGTGCGACACCTCCTGGGCGAGCGAGCGGGCCGCGTCCACCGTGCGGCGGACCGTGCTGCCGAAGAAGCGCCTCAGCCTGCGGGGCCGGGGTACGCTGGTCGCTAGTCCCGCTCGGCGCCCCAGAGCGGGGCGGGCACCGGACGGCTCATAGTCGCTCCGAACGAGTTTTTGAGCAACAGTGGAGATTTAAAACGGTATCGAGAATCCTTGAGTCAATTCGAGGCTTAAACTTTACGTGTAAGGAAGAAGCCACTCAGCCAGCGAAGTTTCTCGTGTACGCCCCGAAGAGGGGCCGAATCCGATATTACATACGTTACTTTGTAGGGCTAAATATTTGATGACCCCGCGGCGCAGTTGCCAAGGTATTGGCTTCGGCGTCGCGGGTCGTGGGTCCGATTCCCACACGGGTTAACTATTTGTGTGACCCACAGATAGTTGTTTCGCATCTGGGTGATTGTCCGCTTGAAATTTATGTTTGTAAAACGTCCTTACAGCACAGGATAATGTTATCCTAAAGTAAGGGCAATGTCTTTTTAAAAAAAAAGTTAATCTAATAATAAATACGTTAATAAAGTAAGGCAAACGTTAGTTTTGAAAAAAAAAATCCACTCTTGTAACAAAAAAAGAAAAACACAAAAGAAAATGTTGCGGTCATAGCATATCACTTACCTACAACAAATACAAAAAGTACGCGATTTAGCAAACAAAATAACACAAATGAAGGCCTATACGCGCGACGATATGAAAGTACTGCTCAAATGCGTATTTATCATAAATAATTTAAAAAAAAACCGCAAATACATAAAACTCGGCATACGTGTAAGTCGGAATGAGATAAAACCAAAACAGAAACCATTAAAATTAATACTTTCTCGAAGCAGGCACGGAATGGTTCAACGCAAAGCAATTTTTTTGCACTCGAGCGCCAAATAACACCGACATGTTTCAAATGGAGCTGTCAAACGCAAACGTCAAACGGGAACTGTCAAAAGCGATAATAGAGCTACAAACTTTTCTGACCCGGTGAGCTTCTAGCCGTAGACGGCCGCCACATTTGAGTAGCTGTCCAACTGAATTGAATATCCAACCGAGACAGATCAAACTACCTAATTTGTAGTTTCAAATATATTTTTCATATGGACCAGAAAAAGAATTACATATTTTACACCATACAGTCATGTCGGGTCAAAAGTGTTTGTTTTGCTATAGTGATGCGACGCGTCACCTCGAGTTTGTCGCGCCCGTCAGCCGCCTGTTAATGTTGTCGTGCGAGTGGCACTTCACTAAATCGTTCATCAGCGCTCTGAAGGAATTTCACACAGATTGAACACCACTAAAACCATAGACGCGGTAGAATTGCGTGCAGAAATGGTGGGAAATAAGGTGACAGTTGTGAAGCTACATAAAAATCTATTGTTAATTAATATTTAAGAGTTTATACGTTCTCAACTCACTCAACTAAATAAATAACCGTCACCGTAATTAATAAAGTACCGTGATCTCTATAGTAAAAATTATAATAAAGGTAAAATTTTAAATACTGGATTCGATTGTCAGTATGTTCGTACTGTAAATACACAATTATGCGACATCGCTTAATAGAAATTTAAATGAAGGTTCGTTATATGCCTGATCACTGAATGCGAGAAAATGTATTTAGATAGCAAACTATATAATTAATAAATAACAATACAAGTTTCTAATTTAATATAGACTAGTAATGATAATTAGTTATGTGAAAGTGCTTTATTTTCGAATTTTAATATTTTATAATAAAAGGAAACAAATCATCAAAAGTTTAAAATGAATTAAGTATATCTATTTGTATACAATTTCCGATTTTCTGTTGCAATTTGGAAACGACAAATTTATAAACCAAAATTCATTAACGCGGGCTGCTATCGAATTTCCATTAATAAAGTTGTAGTATGTCTAGTTATAGCCGCAGATGGTATACATACTTCTCCGTCTTCCTTCGGATCGCCGTTGTCTGTCTGTCTGTGGACTCTCTTTTGATCTCTTTCGTGTCGTCCTCCACTCCTCCCACGCAAACACTCTCACTCTCTTCATCAGTTTCCCTGAAAAGAGTTTGTAATTGAATCAACATTTTAATACTGGTTCGCATTGATGTTTAATAATAATTATAGATGACGCGTGGCCCATACATGGCGGCGTTTAAAAATTGTTCCGCTTTACATTTTTTGACATGTGACAGATGATAATTATAGAACGTATAATACGGAAAGAGTTAGCAGTCTATGGAATAATTATATAATATCATTACCGGTTGGTAATAAAACATTATAAAATTTTTATCGGACACATTTTTACACATCCGTTTTCTAGTCCCAAACTAAGCAGTGGATACTAGATAACTGGTAAACATACTAATTGGTAATATACTTTTCTCTTGTAGATAAACAGACACACAAAAAACTATGTTCATCACACAATATTTTTCTAGTTGCGGGAATCGAACCCACAACCGTTGGCGGAAGAGGTAGAGCCACTACCCATTAGGCCAGTCGAGTCAAGTTTTATAGTGTGATAGTTTTTTTTGTTTTTCATCGAAATGTCACCCAAAGTCGTGATGGTTAAAGATTAGGCATGCAAAAACAAATAAGCATCCAATGAAGTCGCTAGCAGAAGATATACAAGACTCTACATGATTCCCAAGCATCCAAAGGCCTCCCAAGCATCCAACTGGCATCCAACACATGGATAATAGATTGAAAGAATAGTATTTATTAGCGAACATAGGTTTCCAGATCTCGCTGTAAGATATCTTAATTCTTTTAACAATAAAAACTAAAAGTAAATTTTCGTCAAGTTACCTGACGTTAGGTATTTCAGGACGATATGAAGATTTTTTTTATAAGAAAAGTTGGAAAGTGCGCAGGCGGTTAACCTGATGTTAAGTGATTTACACTCACGGACATCTAAAACACATGAGGGAGATGCATGTGTTGCTAACCTTTAAAAAGTAGGCCCCGGTCACATCACTCACCAGGCGAATAAAAACCCTAAAAATAATAACCTCGCACGGCTACTATAATACATACACACACACCAAATACTGTGTCAATAGTATATACACTATTGACACAGTATTTGGTGGTTGTATAAAATAATGGACTCCATACAATACAAAAATATAAATACTACATATTTGTTATTCAAACACGTATACTATCTTTTATGGGTTTGTTTTTGAAGCACAGCACATAAATATAAGCGGTTGAAGGGACTTACCTGTTAAGTCATACTGTAGACAAAAGATCTCTGCAATAGAGCTTAAACAGTAAAATGTGTAGAAAAAGAATGAAGTTTTTCGTCTTCGGGATTCTCTTCGTATGTCTTCGGGATTCGCGTCCCGACGCTTTAGCCACTAAGCTAAGCCGCTGGTTTACTCACAATTAGCATTGCCATTTGGCTGTTCCCACAAAGGCGAAAAACTTTTCGTTGTTTTTTACAAATTTTACATAAGATACGTAATAAAATTGTACTTGTGTAAAACTTTGCAAAATTATTATAAAGACCCATAATCGGTGAAATTTTAATAAGTTCGCAAAGGTATCAAGTTCGATTTTATTTTTTAATTTAGAGAGGTTAAAGAAATTAGGGTAGGTTATAACATAATCTATCGGACAACAAAATTTTACACAATTGCTTTTAATACTTACATTAATTAGTTGCCACCAATTTTGAATATACTGTCTTCAAAAGCTCGCGTGTTATCAAAGCAAATACTACGCATGCAAATAAGTTTACCTGAGTTCACCTTTAATCTAAGTATTAAGTACATTACTTGATATGTCATCGTGAAAGCGTTGACAAGTCGAATATTATTTAATACTCTATCTAAAATTTACGGCAATCAATTTGAGATTTTCAGTTATTGTAAGAAAATCGTATTAAATAACGAAATAAACGATAAAGGAACTTCTACAACAGTTGACTTGTTATTTTATTCACACTACACGAGACTACGACAGAGGCTAAGCGTTACGCAAAACTAGAGGCTGCTAGAGAGAAGAGAACATAAGACTGAGCATTCGTAGACATACGAGAAGTGAGACAGGGACAGAGCGAGGCAATCTTTAAGCTGTCCCTTTCTATAACCACAAAGTCAGGAAGTACACGGAGACTTTACTAAAAGAGACCTAGTTGAGGATATAGTCATAGATGCTTCATCCCTTTCTGTCACATGATCATTCAGGAGTAAAAGTTTCAAATCCAAATCTCTCACTGGTAATTTATAAAGAGGAGGCATGCCGTCTCTTTCCCACATACGTAAAGATTAACGAATAGATGATATATCCAATTTCTCTCGTACAGATAAGATCAGAGACGATAAATATTTCGTGGCTCATTTATACTTGATTATAAAGGGCGGAAAATTATTAGTGAGATCTAGTAACCGCGGTTTGGATGTGCTCTGTCCCTTTCTCACACGGGACGAATGCTGGTTCTCCGTCCCGTAACAACACACAACATCGATAGTACCGCAAAGAGCACAGTCAGAGAGCTATGGGCGAATATAAACACCTAGTGTCGATACTGAGCAGGGAGTTCGCGGTTTGTAAGGGGGCGGAGGGCGACCGCCTCAACAGGTGGGAGCTTTGCAGGCTCTTTGACAGCCCTTTGCGCCAAATTCTCTTTGGCTTTATCTGTGGACTGCAACACGTCACAATGAAAACACAACTCTTGCATCGATGACACATAACCCTAATTACTACAAAAGAGAGGGCCGTTTAAATTGTTGCAGGCGTTAATTGAAAAATTTCGCATCGGTTGGAAAAAATACTTCGCACTAGTATGAGTTTAACACAAGCTCAGTGAAATGAAATTCGCCACTTTTTAATAATAACACACCGATAATTAATGTCAACGATAATGAATGATCTTTTACGTATCAACTGCGAATATTTAAGAAAGCGATAATTTTTAAATCAACTCCACAATCCATCTACTACGTTGTCAAAATAACAACACCTTGGGAAGTCCAACCGTGTGAAATATATGCATGCCTTTGATTATTTAAATTAATTTTTGCGCATGCGCCAAATAGCTTTCAATAGCGTGCTTTGTCCAATTCCTGTGTTAAAGTCAGTTAGTGACAGGTAATGGCATGAGCTGTCATAAATACATCAGTGACAGTCGATGTCAGATAGTACCGATCAATAATGTCATCAAATCAACAGATTATTAAACTGACACAGCCGACGAGACACTGGCTCGTTATTTTCGCGGTACTACATCAACCGACGCCAATAAATGCAAAGAAACTGAATCTTCTATCTCAGATTAAATACAAATTTATATAAAGTGAGAAAGTCATAAACTAAAGGCACTTGCATCAAACGCTGGCAGGCGGTGACAGTAAACGACATCAATTACATAAACTGCCACAGATTGTATATTGACGTATTATTATTGATATAATTTTATTTACAGACTAAATAGCAAGGAGTTGTTGTTGTGTGATTTTATTTCAGTAGCAGGTGTCATTTGTGGTGTCTATTGTGGTAGTGATTTTACTATAGGCGCGTTTGTGTCGCGCAACAGATTAGATATAGAGTTGTCATTTACAGTGTGTCCTTGGTGGTATTGTATTTACTGTTGCGGTGTTTGTATCATGTAACAGAATATATATATACAGCGTGTCGTTACCATCGCGACAATAAATTAACACACGTCTAACGCTACTTTCCAATAATCATAAAAAAATATTAACGTTAAACAAAATCCATAATTAAAAAAAATATTTTTCAAACAAACTAATTAAATAAAAAAGAAACAAAATTTGTAACATCCTATACAACTCGCGCCACAGCGTCCCATTACAAGCCTCTCCTTCTAACAGTATGTTTTGTCTCTTTTAAATTCATTCAACCCATTCATATGCTTTGTGACCTTTACAAATGAACTTTACGTTTCAGTTTTATACGTAAGGGTGTTCTAAAATTGTTTGTTTTGGAAAATTTAATAACTCGGTAAATATTGATGTTTAAAGAATGTAAATATTTAATACAATTTTAAAAAGTTATCGTCTATATGTGTGTTTATTTATTGTCGCGGTATATATAGGTGTCATATCTTGTGTATCTGTGGTAATGACCTGGCGTTGTCGTCGTCGCCCGCGCGGCCTATATACTCCGACGTGAGCCGCATAATGTGCAGGCTGAGCGGGTTGATGCACTGCGGCAGCTTGTGCTCGGCTACGCTCAGCGGCATCCGTTCCCCTACCGCCACATCTCAAATGTCTCGCGCGTTCAATCTCCGCTTAGGCGTCAACGCGCCTAACTTAAAGGCGCCCCCAAAGTCCCCCCTCTTACATATCGGGTGGCTTGTTAAGGGCCAACTAGCCTTTTTTACGATCAAATATATCGGGTGGCTTTATATAGAATTTATAATTCGGTTCTCTAAAGCGAAAAACTTCGTTAGAGCGCCTTTAACTTTTGCGCGGCGGACACTTTGCGGATACCAACAACAAACATCTGTAACTTAGATAGTTAAATCAATCTTCTTTAGTGGGTTAGGTCAGTGAACGTAATTGTAATAGAAATGAAAACTATCATATATTAAATGTTAGCAGTATTACAAAGCTGGACTTTATGAACACAAGGTCTACTTTTTATAAAATACAATGCCGCGTTGTGCTGTATCATTCCTAGATAGTCGCAAAAAAGTAATGTAGAATACATATGTTGTTTATATTCGATTTAGTAGTTTGCCATTCTTGTCTTCTTCAATTGTTAAAGCATTTCCAGTGTATTCTCAGAGCTTGCAAAGAAACAAGTGACAATGACTATAGAGTAATTCTTGTCATAAGAACTCTTCAATGGGATAAACGTTTTGAAGTTTTGACACAGATAAACTTTTGTAATTACTCGGAATGGGCGTCTTTAATTCCTTGTTGAATTATTTTGGCAGAGCGTACTTAAGGGTAGAGGGGGTATAGGTCATGTGGTGATTGGGTGCTTACCGGTGTCCAGGTTGAGGACGGTGACCTGCTCGAGGATCTCGATGTCGGTGAGCTGGTGGCCCGAGGAGGAGCGCGTGCGCAGCGCGGGGCCCGGCGTGGGGGAGTCCCCGGCCGAGCGGCGACGCGCGCGCCCCCCCAACGACTTCCTGCGAACGCGGCGCAACGGTCGCGTGACGAGCTACGGTGCACGTGACGTGACAAGGTGCACATCACGTGACAAGGCGCACGTGACGTGACAAGGTGCACATCACGTGACAAGGCGCACGTGACGTGACAAGGTGCACATCACGTGACAAGGCGCATGTGACGTGACAAGGCGCACGTGACGTGACAACGTGAACGTGACGTGACAACGTGCAGGTGACGTGGACGTTGCGATATTCCACCGCCGTCAAGACACGGTAAAATTCGAAACAGCCTGGTGATATGTTCAATACAAAGATGGCGCAATTATGTTTAATAGTCTTCGGTCGTAGCTATCAGATTGTATACAGGGTAGCTTTTCTAAGTGTATCCATTTTATTTAATTAAATTCTAGACATAAACAATGTTATATAAAATTGATAAATATTTAAAATCACTCGTAAGTAATTAATTACATTCATTTGAACTTATCTCAAAAATTGCGTGATTTATACGCAAGTCATTTATTTTACGCGTGATCATTCATAACCAACACGCACACAAGTTCGTGTACAGTAAAATTTAGGTATTTATGAATAACTACTGCATTGTCAACACATTCTGTTTTTTAGGGAATAGAATGGATTTTTTTTGGAAAACAAAACTTTGTTTTTTATTTCGATAAACGATTATACTACCGAATCTGAACCTCCTGTGTAAATTTGGGCACTTCTCAAAAAATCTGCCTGTATATGGTAGCTTTAATGGTCACGCGATTTAGCTGGTGACATCCATAATCTCATAACGTCGGGGGACGTGGGAGTTACAACATGCGGTAAATAAGTTCATCATTTCTGTCTTAAAATAAAATGACTAAAAGTAGTCATGCCGATGTATCAACAATTAATAGGTCACATTACGAGTTGACACACAAATCAAACTTTAATATATAAAAACCCATAGCAACATTAACGGAACAAGTTAATTTGTTAATGTCCGGCTCGCGTCCATTCTCTCATAGCTAATATGAATTTTCTAAATTGTAGAGTTGAATTTTCGATGTATATTCAATGCACCCAAGTTCTGGCACTGACCTGGCGTGTCCGAGACTGGCGCTGGTGGGGTGTGCGTGTTGGGCGGATTGGGAGTGGTGCGCGGGTTGGGAGGGATGAGTGGGATGAGTGGGATGAGTGGGATGAGTGGGATGGGAACTTTGGGGGTGGTGCGTGGGTGCGGGGCCCTCGCTGTGGGTGCGCGCGCCGCTGCTTCGGGCGCGTTCCTCGTCCAGAGCGCGCACCATGCATTCGCCTGCGGAGTATTTTTTTTCTTAATAAAACATTGCCCTTACCTTAGGACATTATCCTGTGTTGCAAGGACGTTTTACAAAGATAGATTTCACGTAGACAAACACCGAGGTGCGAAACAATTATTTGTGGGTCACACAAACAGTTGTTCCGTGTGGGAATCAAACCCACGACCCTCGAAGCCAAGCCAATACATTGGCAACTGCGCCACGGAGTCCTCAAAAATTACTGTTGCTGCAGCTTCTGCTGTCAAAAAAAGGATCCATCTTTGGATGGAGCGCGGCCTTGCAGGAGACATAAGATTTTGGGCCTTTACAACTCGAAAAGCGTACACGATTCATCCAAGCACATAACGTATTTTCATGAAACCGTGCGTTATTATACTATTTGACCCTTTGTTTGCAAGCAACTAACAAATAGCTGTCATTGAAATGGAAAGAAGCAAACTTAAGATAAAAAATGACCATTCACTTTCATAATCTACTAAACGAGTGGTTGATTACACTAGCAACTTGTATAAGCAACAAGGCCCGACCTCTAACAGCCTCTTTGATGTCGAGCGTGGAGTGCATCGCGGGGGCGCGGTGGCGCGACGAGGCTGTCGTGCTGCTGCGCGACGAGTTGCTCGCTCGCTCACTCGAACGCGACTCGCGCCTGTCTCGCTCGCACATCAGACCCGGCGACATCAAGTCGCTGGCTGCGATCAGATCATCGAGTTTTACTACCATGGCCACATCAGGTATTCAAAAGTATGCAGGCTTCTTCATAATCTTTTCCTTCACCGCTGAGCACGTGATAAGTCAACACTTAATTTTTTTTATGTTTTATTGAATTAAGAGCGAGCGCCCAGATACTGAGCTATCATGTACCATTGAGTGTGAGGTTAAATTTTTCGAAAAAAATTCTGCCGCTTCATTTGGGTAACGCGCCTTGCGCATTACCCAAATGAAAATAGCTAGCTTACTGAGCGGTAGATATTCTATGTTCACTAGTTTGTTTTGAGTCATTTCGTGGTTGTACTAAGGTGTATGCGCTTGAGAATTATGGAGGAGTCATGAAGAATCTTCCTTTAAATTCCTACATTCCAAACTCTTGTTAATAAGCGGCTAGCAGATTGTATGGATCATTCAAATGCGATCCCAAGGCCGCTAGTCTAAATTTCCGCTTCTCAGATATCGAAACTCACTATCGCATTATATACAAAAAGTTCAGTAAAATTCCTTTCTGTAGCTGCCTTATTGTTTGCAATACAATAAACAAATCTGACAACTCACCGTACTTTGACTGAGATAGCTCTAGTGAGTCCTGGAACTCCCTGGTCAAGGATTCTATGGTGCTCGCCGGACTTGGCAGCGCCATTGTTTGGTTCAACGAACTTGACAACGGCGGCTGTTGATAGAAATTGTAGAAATTGGTTAGCAGCTAAATCAACATCACTGAAAATGTTCGAAGCGGATTCAAAAATGTGTACTGAAGAAACTCACAGACTTGTGATTGGGTAGACTCAAATATCTCACGTTATACAAATAAAGGAGACTAGAAACTAAAAGATTCAAATCAATTTGTAATCTTACGCGTGTATGCAAAGACTTTGCTAACCTGACGCATTGAAAGTAATGACTGAAATTGAAAAAAACTGAAACGGTGCATCAAGCAACTGACGTTACTGATTTAGATCAGGCAGTTGCACGATCAGACATAAGTGATCATATTGAAAATTAATGGTTTCATGATGGTGATCACTATCACAGGGCCAGGCAACAGCTTTTGCTGTTGCATAAATGTACAGACTCGTTCGGGGACGTACCAGGATGTCGCAGAAGACCAGCGCGAAGAAGAAGTATTATAATTTTCCGTATAAAGAGTGTGGTAAATGGGGTCTATTGTTTTTTGAAATTCACAACGAACCTGCAACTCTCCCGGTCTTGTAGGCCTGTAGGCTTTCGCATCAGGGTTATGTTCCCAAGGAGGTTTCATATCAAGCAGCCCGGTCGTAAAAAATCTCAGCCAAGACCACTTTTAACATGATTCACAAGTGTCCACCCCACCTAGGTGTAGAGCCACGCCACAGTCCTCGCTGTAGCACGAATGGACAGGGATACGTCCGTCCGTGTAAGTACCACGATCTCACACAACACCGGCGTGAAGTGGAAGAGTTGTACTCCTGCGTTTCGTCTGGTGAGTCAGTTAACCGAGCCCCATTATATAAAAAGGTGGCAACGCATCTGCAATCTTTCTGTATTGCAAATGTCTATATGTGGTTATCACTTAATAGGTGATAAAGGTGGGATAAGGGCAGAAGGATAAGATGGAAAGATTGAGACCCCCGTCGCGAGCATACGAAGACTTGCAGGCTATGGGCGCTGCCGGTATTTTTGCGAGGCTGTGCTGATGATACCGGTGATGAAGGCTACCTGGACAAGCAGGTCTTCGAGCTGTGGCTTCTCGCTGCGCCGCTGGTAGGGCGTGTGCAGCTCGTCGGTTTCAACAGTGCAGATGCTACTGGTATCGTCGGAACACTGCGCCTGCGACCCGTGCGCCTTATCTGCAGTATGCGCACACTCTACAATCGCGTCGAGACTTGGTGCGTGTATAACCGACGGATGGCGAGGGTCAAATATGGAGGAATAACACGCGCAGGAGGAAGTTCGAAGATCTATACTACAGAAGATCTAAGTTGGATTGTATTGAAGATCAGTATGGTAAACGAATGATGTATTCGTAAGGTGCTGTAACTACTTTTGAACACTTGCAAGCTAAAATTAAAATTACAGTTGTGCTGTTTTCTTGAAGCATATTTCTAAGGGTTTATATTCAGGGTGGTGAACATATGACAGTCCATTACATGAAGTATGGGCATCAGATAATATTATAGGTGAACATTAAAACTACGGGATTTCGAAGCTTCATTAATGAATTTTAATTTCTGGCACTTGTTTTGTGAAAATGGAGAAACCAATATCTATCTAGGTGCAAGTGGATTGCCAATTGCGACGCACGATGGTCAAGTTGGCGCTAACGAATATAACCTGCTTAGCTGTAACCCCCCCCACTTATTATGCTTCAATCTCGATGCTTAACGAAGATCGAACTGAAATTGTGCGACGCGCTTGCACGCCGCGTGGAGGCGGCGCGTGCCAAGAACGTGGACCCTATACCTCACGGAACAACAGGGTTGCCAACAGTTAAAAGAAAAACGAAAAATAAAAGAACTGTCTGCAGAAAGAACAACGGTGTTTTGGTTCTTTCGTTTTTGCTGAACAACATTTTATAACAATAACGGTGTTTCAACAGCATTGGTTGGCCACCCTAGTGAAGGTTGGGGTGAGAATTATACGGTCACCAACTCGACCCGTGCGTGGCAACTGCGTCATCAGTTGTCGAGGTCAAAAGGGGATAAAGTCAGTGGGGTTAGGTCGATGTTCACGTCAGCCAGTGGTCATTTCGGTCAGGATTAGATAAATGGAGAGTCGAGTAAATGGAGGGCAGGTATAGGCTCTTAAAAAGGGGGGAAATATTCTGCGGTCCAGCGAGAACAGGCTCTTAAAATAAAGAAAGGGAGTAGATATTTTAGATATTATGAGGTCAGGCAAATGGTTCAGGTAAATGGAAGCAGTCTAGTAGGTGTCAGCTCCTCTCAGGTCAAAGGAAGGTCATGAGAGACGCCTGGTAGGTGTCAGTCGTGAGTCCTATAGAAGTGAGGGGTCGGAGAAACGTGGCGCGGGGCGACAGACTTACCGCGCCTCTTTCTCCTCGGCGGCGCGACAGGCTGGGCGCCCGACACCGCCACCACGGCGGGCGGCCGGCTGCCCTTGAGGCTGTTCGCCTTCGTGCTCGCGATCACGTCCGGCTCTGACGTCGTCAGCGCTTCGGAAACACGCCACGCTGAGCCGGTGCGGCCACATTCTATATGCGCGACCCACCAGCGGAATTCGCGGGTTCGAGTCTCAAGTTTCGAGTCGGACACGGCATGCCACGATGACTTTACCACGCCTAACTAGAGCGGCTTGAATGCCTTATATAGTCGTTATGTTATTCTGCGATCTTTCAACTGGTTCCGTTGGCGCAGTTGCCAAGTGGATCGGTGCGGTATAGCGGATCGTGGGTTCGATTCCAGCACGGGACAAGTATTTTTGTGACCAACTGCAACTGGCTGTGTGGTGTGTGGACGTTTTTACAGCAGAGGATGATGATACAGGAAAGATGAAAAAAAAGAACGCCCACTTACACCTTCCGTTTATGATCTCAGTATTGCATTAAAATAAATTTTTGTTTATCAACTCAACACGTAAATTATTTTTTTATTGTTTTACTATCCATCAATTAGAAATATAAAAAAAAATCATGGTAATATTTTTAACTACAGTGAGTCGTACCACGCATTAATGATATAAAAATGGACCCAACATTAAACCTTGTGAAAACCCTCAATTAAAATGTTCACCGAATACAAAGGATATACAACTACAAGACTTAACAAGTGCAAAAGTTATTTTATTTTCAACGCGATTAATGACATCATTCTATGATTAACGCTTAATTTCTAAACTTAATCATTTTAATAATGATCTCTTGATTTACAAAATCGAAAGCCATTAAAGAACTAAAATGAGTATGCTATAAATCGAAAGTTGATGACGTATGTATTTTAGTTGTTACTACAGCTAAATATGTACACGTGTCTATATATTAGTCACTTTATTGTTAATAACATTACAAAATAATGAAAGATTTCCATAACGTGTCTTATTCGCTTTTAATTTAAGACTAGCTAAACGATACGTCATGTGTTGCCCAAATCTCAATTGTTGAAACATTAGATTAACGACATGCTAACCATTAACTTCTGAACGATATTGAATTAGAGAGTGAGGTAGACGGGAAGGGCTCTCACCGTTCTGATTTCTGCTGTCCGTCGCTAAGGGGTCGTCTGAAATGGTCGATGGCTCCCTCGATGATGCAGAGGGCGCTGACGGTGGAACCTCGCGGATGTTCGCTGCGGGCGGAAATATCAATCTACCTTATCTTATCCCTCCTCAGGAAACGTGCACATTTTCGAAATAATAACGTCAACAACTTTAATAGGGCCACGCAACAGCCTCGTCTGTTGCACGAATGGGTAGGCTCGTCCGGGTAGTACCACGACCTCACAGAAGACCAGCGTCAAGTGGAAGTATAACACTTTCGCGTTTCGTCTGGTGAGTGAGGTGGCCGGAGCCCAATTTACAAAAGGTTGTCAACGCATCTGCAACCCTCGGGTGTAACTGAAGTCCATGGGCGGCGGTATTCGCTGAACCGCCATACAGGTAGTAGTAGGTTTTCACTGGTGTTCATTATACATCATGAGCGTTAGAATTAATCAATTTTGTATTTGAATTTTAAAGAAAAAGTTACGATTTAGCAACTTCTTCGGCTTTGTTACATTATTAGGTATATATATTACGTACACACACCGTTTTTCATTTAAATTTTAGGATAACTTACAATGCGAGTCCGCGGCGCCGCTGAGAATCCGACCGATTCGTCCCAGTGACGTCATACTCTGCAGGCTCATCGTGTCGTGCGATATAATTCTGTAACAAAACGGACGTAATCGTTGTGACGCAATTACATCACTAAAGATTATTAAAATCACAAAAATCGAACGGAACGAAATATCAGTTGTTTGTAACACTTACGCTCGGTTTCTGAAACACTGATCATAAGTTAACTAATCTGCCGTCAAGTGTCTTTTCAAATGTTATTTAAATTGCCAAACGGATGGTTGAAACTCACTGAATTGATCAGAATGATCTTCTTAACGAGTTTAGTTAAGAGTTTAACCTTCCTTTATCCTTTTGGCAACTCGAAACACATTTGAAAAGCTATTTGACAGCTAATTAGTTAACATCTACGATGATCAGTGTTTCAGAAACCGGGCGTTAGTCAGCAGTAAATAACTTGGGATGTTAACGAACTTTTCTAAAGTATTATTTTTTATTCTCTTGATGGTCAAACGATCATTTTAGGTGAAATTTCAAAAAACTAATCTTTTTATTCGTAGTTTTGTTCTTAGGTGAACACTCCGACACATCCTGCTGAACTCGACCGCGTATAGCTAAAGTACGATGCACACCAAACGCACGCATTTTAAAATTCTTAATATGAAATTAAAACGTAAATAGTTTACATTCGCATAAAACATATACACATTGACAACGCCAATCCGAAACGAATTTGCGTATTCTTTACAATGAGCACAGTTGGTTGGGTGTTAATCATACTTTATAAAGTATGTATCCGTTTGTAGAAGATACTTGATAACTAATATAATAATCCCTTTCTGGATGTTTTGGCGGCGTAGTTACCAAGGTATTTGCTTCGGGGCCCAGGTTCGATTATCACACGGGACAACTATTTGTGTAACCTACATATAAATGTTTCGGATCTGGGTGTTTGTACACGTGAAACAGTACCACAGTACGTGGTTTTCGAAGGGCCGGCTACAATAGATCTTCTAAGTCGCAGTGGTTGTTAGATAACTACTCAACCTCTTTCACACAAGACATCATTATATCCCTTTCTAAATCGTCAACGTGACATAAGAGTCTCTCGCTCACTTGAATGGATGCTCCAGTGCATAGGTGTGGTCCTTTGGGATTGCCGTGTCGGGAACCCCTTCATCCTCTTCTTCGGTCTGCATGCAGCGACGAAGCTCTTGGAACCTCTTGCGGCCCTGAACCACCTGAACAGCATATAGGATTGGTTACAACAGTAATACAACTCAACCAATATAGCAATGTACCATGCCCTAGACAAGCTTTATTTTTTTGTACCACCTGAATACTATCACTGAAAATAGAAACTGAAATGAATATAGAAATTTTCCATACCATGGAGAAGCTTTATTATTTATCTCCCTGTACGTTACTCCAGTGAAATGTCAGTTATTTGGCAAATGACTAATTTATCCAATCATTTTAGAATAATACTGAACATATTGCGAGGATAAAAATATTGAAACTGCCTGCATATAACAAAAAAATAATAATAAAAAGAAGTCAAACACAGGAACTTTTCAAAGTCACAAAATGGATAAACCCTAATATGTATTAGTCTGTGTATATGTATACACAGCGAGTGACCCAAGGATAAAACACATAAAGTTTTAGGCAAACTGAAATTTCATTGGAATGTACTACATATTGACAGTGCGCCATTGAACTTGTACAAAAGAGCTTTGTATGGTAGCTTCAATGGCTTACAACAGCAATTATCCAACCAATATATTCAAATGGTAGTCTGTTCAGTAGACCGTGACACAAATTTAATTTCAATTTAGTTTCAATCTTCGTAAAAAAACACATTTATAAGTGACCTATTCAAGCTGTTTATATTTACGATATTTTTCATGTCACAAAAACAGGTAAAATCAATTTATAATACCAATTATAAATATAAATTTATAAAATGTTCAAAAAATTACGTTTACAAGATTTTGTTTTAGCTTTAATAAAAATTAAAAAAAAAAAATTTGATTTCATTCATTCATATGACCGTGAAATTAGGTTTAAAACTGTTTTTTCAGTTCATGTTTCACTTACATTTTGTACAGTAGCTCTGTCGTCTTCGACTGTGGCTACACCTTCACAGGTGGGAGTGCTTGTAGCACCTAATACTGGCGACAGTGAGTCCTCTGCTCTAGTGTTTGTAATCTGTGGTCCAATAGGGCTCTTGTCTTTTTGAGCTGAAGAGTTAGGATCTATAACATTGATGTTCTTGCATAATGATGATCTCCTAAAAATGTGCCAAACAAATCAATTACAAAAAAGTGAACAGTTAAAAACAATCAATTGTATATATTATTATTTTGCTATTTCATATGTTCTATGTGTAATAATATTTTATTACGAGAATGGCTTTTTATTAATGTTGTTTTTTATATTTTAAGTTTTACTAATTGTGAATAATATATGTTGAATTTAAAATATATAAAATCTATTAAATAAAATATTACCGGTAAATGTAAATAACTTTAACTCTGTTAATTACGGAAGAGTTTAAGTTATTTACATTTGCCATATTACCATTCACTTTTTAATGGAAACACTACTAATGAATTAAGTTTGTTTATAATGGCATTGATGACATGTTACAATCAATAGTTATGCAAAATATAGGTACAGCTATCACTAGATGCTTTAACTTTGGTGCGACGTTTATGTTGACATTGAGTTCTCACCTGACGATTATATTCAAGGACAATGGAGTCCCAGCTTAACATCTGTTTCTGATACTATGCTTGATTGTTTATAACTATTACATATATTTGAAGGTATAGTAGGGTTTCAGCGATGTAACAAAGTTATAATTTAGTGAATTTCCTAGTGTAATCTAATATGTATTACAAAAATAAACTAGAATCTGGTTAAGAGATAGAAGAATAAACAGTCTTACTTTGAACCCTTAATGGGTGTGAATTCCTCAGCATCGTAGAACTCCTCTGAATCACTACTGTCATCCATTTTGCTACTAATACCAAGAGTAAAAAATTTGAGATCTGATAGCAACACTGTATTTACAACATCATTTAATCATTAATTATATACAAAAAATGCTAAATCGAGTCGTTCAACCATTTTTAACAGTCTGACAGATATATCTGAGTGACAGACTGACAGATGGATTGACAGTTCTTTTTACGTTTAAAAGTTGCACTAAAACATTCGTAATGTTATAGAACGTAGTAATTGATATTGTTTTTATGATTTTTAAATAAGGTCGTTACTTAAAATAAAAATAATAAGTAAATTTATACTTACATTATTTATCATTGGAAAATTGTGTTTTATGATTCTGACTCACTAGGCGAATATAAAGATATTTGGATTAAGATTTCGTACTACGTTAAAATCATTCTCCGGTAAATGACAATTCACCAGAGAATAAATTTTGTAATAAAATACAGTATCTTATTATTTTCTTGAAGTCATTTAACCACAATCTTAAATTCAATCTTCTAATTTAGTTTCGTTCACATATTTGGTATGTAAGGCTATGAGTTGAGAAAAAATTAAGTGCATATAAGACACATTGGCTATCGTCACTTTTAAAGCCGCACGTCGAAACTCAGAGTTGCAAGTCCTGTATGTAAGACCGTGCCTTTAATACAACTAGGCAGATTTGTTTATACTAAAAATTACTACATAGTTGGGGTAAGAGATAATATATAATTATTCTGTCAGATCTTATCCATTTACTGTCTTTAAAACTTGTAGAAAAGGTATGAAAAGATTGTCGTTGTTGTGGGAATCGAACCCACGTCTTCGGCATTCACGGCCTGACGCTTACTGTCTTATTTTTTGCGTTGACGTAAAAGTTATAAGAATTATTACAGTAGACACTTTATAAAACAACATTGCCAACTTATATAAGTACGTTTGATTCAGAATTGGTTACTTGTTTAACTTTTATACCTCGACGAAAAATGACAACACCGTAGCCGAATGAACCTGAAATTACAATGTTTAACCCAGTGGCTAAGCAACTGGCTTCGGTGCCGAAGGTCGTGAGTTCGATTCCCTCTCGGTAATTGTTTCGCATCTGGGTTTACCGTCAGGAAGGCGGCTGGTCGTAAATAAAAACCTAGCCAGTACCATTAACAGCATGATTCGTAACATTCGTCAATTGTTGTCACATGATTCCAATGTAGAGTAATACCACAAGTAATATTTTGTAGAAACGCTCGTGTAGCATCGTACAATAGAGACGTCACGGTGAGCGATCGCGTCAACTGTCTGGAGCAAAGGAAACCTGAGCTTCACCAGATAATGGCGACGAGGTTTTATACGTATGTGTAAAAAGAATAGTATTTGATTTGTAATGTTAGTTGAAGGCACAGAAAAAAATGGAGGCTTTAAATACATTTATCAGTTTTTCATTCTCATTATCAAAAAATTGTAATAATTAAGGAAAAAATTGAAGTTTCTCTCTAATATTTCCTAATAAATCTTTTTAATAACCGCACATGCTCTATTGTGTGTTGTCGTAATACTAAACAGTACAACATGAAATATTCAAACTGTAAATTGTAGTTTATAATTGAGTATTTAAATATGTTTTGATTAATTTTTTTTGTTTTAATGTTTTGATTAATTTTGAAGAAAAGAAAAACCATAATGGGCCCATTTTATAAAGCTATCTTACGTGCTTGTTCCTTGGCCGCCGGCTGAAGCTAGCAGTAGAGTTACTAATGCTACTCTGTACGGCACATTTTTCACATTGACTTCAGAAGAGGAGGAGAAAAGAGGTTTATTTATGAATCGATTTAAAAAAATCTAGATTTGGCTTAGCTTCCTTGATAATTTCAATGGTCTGGTCAAAAATCTTGGACTCAGTAGATACATCATGAAACCCCTCAAAATTGAATGGAAAATTTATGGTGCGTGAGTTTTTAAGATATCAGGCCTGAGCACTTGAACCCGTCGTAAACAGAAGAAATCAAATATTTTTATTATTTGCACATCATATGATGCACTTTTATAATTTATTCGGTGTTCATTAATGCCTTTGCAAATGAAAAATACTGAAGACGTGATGAACTGTTTAAATACGTTTTTCACTGCAAAATTTAGTGATGTGAAGGATTAGTGGGATTAGTTCATATTGTTTTTACGCCATAGTAGATCTCCTTGAGGTTTGTTTAACTTGTTAAATTGTTACATTTACCCCATTTTATAAAAAAAACTTGCAAAGGCCGCTGTAGAAAAGTTTTTTTTATGTGAGAAAGTGGCAGACAAGTTGGCGGTTCACCTAATGTTAAGTGATAACCACCGCCCATGGACATGCGTTGCATTGCAAATGCGTTGAAATTGCCCCAAATAACGTGGGCCCCACTTATCTAGATGCTAGACGAATTGTTAACCACGCATTGGCAGATTTCATATATATATATAAGATTTTTTAATTATTATTTCGAATATCATCACGACAAATCAGCACATAAAATTGTAGTTAACAAATTTCGCAGTTGTTTAACTGCGAGCCATTCCAGCCTCATTTGATATACTGACTGCTGTAAAGTACGCCTTTGCAGTAGGTAATTGTTGTGCCAGATATCAAGAAGCTTTATGAAAAGTGCTATTACAAATCCATATTCATTCTTGTATATATGTCCCACATCTCGGATCTACCGCGAACGTTAACCTGTTAACCTGGGAAAAAATGTTCCGGAAGAGAGTGTGTCTCAGTGACTACTGGACAAGCATATAGCCAGCAGAAGGCTTAAACTGAGGATTGGTGTTAAAATAATATTGAACATTGTTTTAATGTGTTTTAGTGCGTTATTTATCACTTATAACTAAAATAAGTCTATGGAGGCGACGATATGTCCAGCTGTGGACTTATACAAGCTGACATGATGATGTTTATGATGAAGTCAGCGGCCCAATGCAGCACACGTTTCTTCGCCAGCGAATATTGAATTGACCTCTGACAAATCGTGCCACGGTGCGCAGATCTGCATAGCTTCAGGAGCACTCAGGCATGAAATGGGGGCTATGTCCCAAAAAAGCTGGTTGGCAAGGAAGCCGATGGTACAACTATCAAGGATTGTAAACGCTAATTACAGAGATTTTACCCAGGTGACAGATCCGACAAAGAGGTCGGACACATTAAACCTAACAAAATACCATTATTTCTTGTTCTAAATATAGCGGCAGAATAACATTTATACCTTAACTTATTGCATATTTTTACTATTTATATCTCTAACTAGCGACCCGTCCCGGCTTCGCACGGGTGCAATGCTGTATGTTTGTTTTAGAAATCGCATTAGAAACCTCTAAAACTATCAGTGTGTCTCTACTATATTATGTGTGAATGATAAAAATAACCTTTCCTCTTGAATCACTCTATCTATTAAAGAAACCCGCATCAAAATCCTCTTTCTTAGTTTCTTAGTTTTAAATATCTAAGCATATTTTATAGGGACAGACAGACACCGGGACGACTTTGTTTTATACTATGTAGTGATGGCCACTGATGACAGACCAGACAGTTTTTATATTTTATCCTGTATATACTATTCAAAAATAACTACGCGCGCGAAGCCGCTGGCACATAATACTTCATGACGATAGCGCGTAACATTAGGCGTTCTTCGTTTGGAGGAAATTTCCGGAATGCGTAAAAGTCGCGGCGCGGGAAATACGTTTGTGAATCACTCCAAGATGACGTAGCTAATTTAAGAAATGTGTTATAATATCGTATTTGCTTAAAAGCTTATCAAATGACACTCAATTTTTTAAATTTATTATTTATTTATCCATTTATTGCACACCCGCACACAAGCGTGCTACTGCTATGATAAATTAATAGCAGTAATTCTTATTTCGTCAATTTAAATTACTCACTAGAGAAGGCAAACATTTGAAATTTTTTTTTGTTTTTCAATATTCTATCGCGTTGTTGAATTATCATATTTCTTTTTTTTTGTTCGAGAGGTTTACTTTTACGTATTTGCCTCTTTCATATACTTTATATGGGGTCAGTTTTGTGAAAGTAATTTGTAAGTTATAATAATAATTTCTTAATTTGTAAGTTCTTAGAATAATAATTTATTATTGTTCTTACTAGCGATCACGGAATTTTGTGAATACCAGTTTGCGGACGTGTACCGAATATTTATAACAAATTTATTATATTTAGTGTGCGGAAAGTCGGTGGATACAGTGGCTCAGGATCGTGCTTCGTCGCATCTGTGGGGCAGGCCGAAAAGATAATGATAATTTTATAATTAAATTATATATGTTTTCTTGTAATTGCGCGAATACTATAAATGTCTAAATTAAACACGTTTCACGTATTCATCGCGTTTTAGTTCGATTTTTTACAATTCGATTACTCAGCAGCGTTCATGGTCAAAAACCTGAGTTGTTTTACGCCTGATGTTATTTGTGTTTTTCAAATTCACACATAATTATATCAACCCATAACGATACATATTATTAATATCTTTCAGATTATTAAAAGCACTGTAATAAAATACTATATAATCAAGACTGTTGTGGACATTGAATCAGTCTCTAAATCACTGTGGGTTCTATTCAAATTGATAGAAAACATATCGTTTTTCTACTCTCTGCGTGGTTATATTTATAGTAATGTTATAATGAAAGAATTTATATTGAAAGATAAACTTTATCTAAGTTCTTTTACCAGTTACTTAGTTGGTAATTACAATAAAATTTATCCCCCGAAAAAGTACAACATTCTCGGTCTCTCATTTGCGTTTCAAATTATAGTTTACTTAACATTGTTGTCGTGATAGCTTAGTGTCTGCTTTTAATCGATACACTCAGAACTACCCGAGGTCAAACCCGGTACCGGCACCGATAAAATTGTTAATTCTAAGTGCTATTTATCGCGTGCTTAGCGGCAAAGGAAAACATCGTGAGGTAACCCGCATATTTTCGAAATAATAAAAAAAATATATTTAAAAAAAGGTAAATCCACTAATACACAGTGGGGTCGCGTGGAGGACTATGCTCTTATACCCTCAGTACAGAGGATTTTATATACTTACTTAATAATAGGCTGTTATTTACTTTTACTATTCTTCATCGTTCACTTTTTAATTTTATATATGAAACGGAACATAATTTGCTGTTAATGGTTTTATAGTTGTTAGTGTAGTTATTTATAGTTTCAGTGGTACATGAGAATAAATTGCCGGTGCAAAAATCATAGTGCCTGCTTAAAAGCTTGTAAACTGACTCTCAATTATTTAAATTTATTATTTATTTCTTTATCCATTTATACACACACGCACACAAGTGTGTTACTGCTATGATAAACTAATAGCAGTAATTCTAATTCCAATTAAGCAAGTTTATGCCTTCCGTAGGCAAAAATCTTTTTCGTTCAAATTTTTACTAAACAAATCAGTTTCTCGTATAGGAACGGCTCTCTCCGTTTTTCAGTAATAACAAATAAAAACTGTATCAAAATTCAGTGCTCGGGCAAAGCAAGTAAACGTACAGACGATGTTTGTGTACGCACTGACGCAGAGCGCGCCTATAAAATACCCGATCCCCCTACTTCAGCAGTTACTCTGTTCAATAAGTCGTGTTGGCCGCACGCCCGCTAACTGGTTCCTTTTCAGAAAACAAAAAAAAAGTAAGTTGTTTTTTTTTAAATATCGCTATCTATTGTGACATGCCATAACCTAGTCGTCGCTTATTTAATTGTTTTTTATGTACTGTGTATTCCGGAACAAAATTATTAATCAATGTAATTAAAAGTAAGTTCGAAATTTTCTTACTGAATGTTTTAATTCATACAAGTTGAAGAACATAAGATTTATTCTGATACTATTTAAATGTTATTATTATGACTTACTTGTGGATACCGAGCGGTCGAAATTCATCCATAATTAATTTAAATTATAAGTTTGAAAAAATTTATCTATTCTCAAATACAATACATGATATACAAAAGAGTGTGCATGCGTGTGTGTGTGTAATACGTGGTAGTGTGCGTAATGTTTTCTTTTTTTATGTGAGTAAGTGGCAAACGAGCTTGTGGTTCAGCTGATGTTACCTCTTAATAATGTGGGCCCCGGCTACCTCACTCACCAGAGGAAACGCAGAAGTGCAACACTTCTACTTTACGCCGTGCAACAGCGAACACTGTCGCGTGGCCCTACCACCGTTAAAATATATTTAGTTTTCTATATTGATTTAATGTATTTTTTAAGAATAATTAATAAAATATTACCATTCTGCACTCCTTCTCTATATAATCTAGTAGGAAATTTCACACTCCTCCGTCCGCGGAGTTTCCGCAAAACGGGGTACAAAGTTTTTGCTTCACGTATTAATATATAGATTATGTATTAGAATCATTGACAGTTGTTAACTAAGAATAAAAAAGGAAACAGTTTTAACGCCGAAGACGTGGGTTCGATTCCCACAGCGGCGACAATCTTTTCGCACTTTTTCTACATTTTTAATGCTCAATCTTAAGTGCAAAGATTAGCACTATAAACAATTTAAATTTCCAAGGAAACAGTTATTTCTGTATTCTGATATAGTTAAAGTGTTTCGTACCGAGCGTTTCATAATATAAATTTCTATAAATATGCTCTCTTTAATATTAAATTGTACATAAAGTAAAAACTATTTCAATTTTATTAAGGAAAATAAATATTGTGAAATGTCTGGCATGTAGTACGTTTTAATATAGCTACTGTTTGTTCAGCATCTTACGAGCTATCATGATCATTTATTATAATATCCAAGTCCAGTCGTGATGTAATTCCATGCAGTTTAATGAACACAACGACTCTTAACTGCTTTGAAAGTAAGTCTATAGTACTTTGCTATTGAGACCAACAAACTGATTAATCTTTTATAGGGAGTTATACCTTTTTTTCTGTATCGGTGGGAAATCTTCAAAAGATCTCTCATGACCCTGTCATTACATGACAGGAATATATAAGATCATTACAGGGTTATGTGGGGTTCTTATCCACTAAAACCCCCTCGGAATAGTATAAACCTTCCCCGATTACCTTGCCATCTTACAGCAGCCCGAAACCACTTCGTGCTGCTGCCGATCAGGGTCCCCTTTTAGTCGCCTTTTACAACAGGCAGGGGACACTTTAGCCCTATTCTATGAGCCCTATTCTAAGTGAACTTCACTGTGAATTAATACTCCCAAAGTGTGTTCTCTAAATGAATATAGCCATTCATCACAAACAGTACACTCAGAATTAAGTGTATGGTTCATTCTGATTTTAATAGAGATATGCACGAATCTTATCCCCGAAGGAATAATAATATTATAAATAAAATAAGTGATTGTACGTTTGTCCTCTCCTTATAAAAGGAATTTGACAGCCAAAATATTGGTTACACACTTTTCTATACTAGGAATAAGAAAGCACTGAAGTGCAAGGGACCAGTAGGTATGTGCAAGGGGCAGACTATCTGCGTTATGGGAGACGGCCGATCAGGTAAATCGAATATTAAGCATTAAAGCCCACGTCGCTATCATAAATAAGGGGGATCTTATGTCCAGCCATTTTATGTCAGTCTTTCCGACTCTATCGTTTAGGCTACAGAGCGTACCAAAGATATATGAAGACACATACGGACTGAACGACTTAGGGGCCTTCAAGAAGATATCCTACTCCTCAAAGGCCGGCAACGCAAATGAGACTCCTTCGATGTTAGAAGTGTCCATGGACGGCGGTGATCGCTTACCATTAGGTGATCCGCTTGCTCGTTTGCATCTTCCTTCTATTAAAGAAAAACCGGCCAAGTGCGAGGACTCACGCACGATGGGTTCCGTACCATTATATATAAAAATGGCAAAAAACCATGTCTGTTTCACATTTTTCCATTCCGTTTTTTAGTTTCATGGTTCATGAGATACTGTCTGGTGACAGACGAACAGACAAAAGCGTCTTAGCAATAGGGCGCCGTTTTACCATTTGGGTAGGGAACTCTAAAAAACATAGGCACAAAAACCTTGACATAAGGTTAATGTATATATGACAGTGTAATAAAAACGGTAGATATATTTTAAGAGTTGCTAGTCACGATTACAAAGCTCAATCGTTGAGTGATCTGATTTCTTAATGTCACCACACATGGAGTATTTTTACCACGATAAGGTTAAATCTCAGAAAATTCGCAGTTCTAAACATATCGTAGATTTTGGTTTATTATTCTCAATGCACGAAATGAATGAATTCTTATTGATATTGATTGGTAGGAACAAGAAAGCGACATTCCGTCATCTGTGTAATTATCTGGAATTTTCTTTTTCAACCCATTCTCTAGCACATTTGCCATTTTTTGCGTTATAGTTAAAATTAAGCGTTTTATAATTACAATAAACACTAATAAATCAACGGCTAAGGCAGATATTCCCGCCTAAGTCGTAGTGGTCGAAAATTATACGAGTTTATTGTAAAATGTTTTCTGTCCACGATAAAATTATTTTGTGTATTTCCGTATTTTTGACCTCCATCATTGAACAGTTAATCGGAAATCCACTAATTAGGATTAAATAAAAATGTCGATGTGTTTGGGTGTCGGTCTTTGGGTGTCACGCTAAGATGTCAAGAGTCGATGCACTCGTGAAATCCGACACTAGGTTCCACTGGCCCGTCTAGGACAAATGGTAGAACAATGGCTGCCATCACATTATACTTGACAATAGGCGGGAACCTAACAAAGAGGACCTGTTGGTTGAATGTTACCCAACACTGGCTATTGTCAACTATAGCGGTGTTGCCTTTACACACGCGGCCATGTTAACGTTTTTTTAAAGTGTAACTTGAAATCCATTGACAAAAAGTAACTTGGTGGCACTTAAAGAAATAAACGCGTAATATAATATGATGACCCAATAATACAAGCCTTGACCTTACTTTGGTGCATCAGTCTCCCACAATATGAAAAGTTAACTTGTACATCCATCTTTTGAAATACTATTACACACTGTGGTGAGATATAAAGAATTATTATTATTATTTAGAAATTTTAAATGTTTGAAGGTTTAATTGAAACTTTTCGATTGAAATTATTTACCTTTGAATTTTAGTGAATTTATGAATTTAAGTGAAACTATTTTACGGATTTTATATTGTTTGCTTTGTTTATAAAAAGCCAAACACTTTAAAAAGGTAAATTCATTGTCCCGATAAAATAATAAAATTTCTCACTTAATAAAAACTAATTTATTCAAGAAAAGCATTCGCTCTCTTTATACTTGGGACTTAAATAACCTAATTATTTTTTAAGACTAGATTGTAACATTAGTTGGTAATATTTGAGACTAGGTTAGTCCTGAAAGTGATCACGAACATGTGTCATAGCATGACAGCGATTCGATTTAAACATAACATGTTAACATGCATTCATATCAAAACTTAAGTCAACATTGTTTCTATGACGACAAAAAACAAGTCCTTGAATCGACCAGTCCCAACTTATCGTGATTGGCACGGCAATGACGCGGTAAAACCTTTGATTGCTAGATATATTCAACTCTTGATTACTGTAAAATAACAACGATGTGCTTTTTCAAAATGACCGTTTTTTACACTGTGACCGTGCTTTGTTGCTTGTCTTGTCAAAAGTATATATATTTTTTAATTATTACAACGTTTAACGGCATGGGATTTCTCCGTACAGCAGTCAACATTAGTTTAGTAATTTTGTCGTTTATGTCATATTTGACAAATACAAGTAGCATGCCGAATATGATATTCATCGTCGTGGTAATATTGGCGCGAAAAAACAAACCTTAAAGTTTAAGTTCATCGGATTTCTCCATATAGAAAATTCTTCGATAATTATCCCGCCATTTTTAGCGCGATAAAGTGAAAACTTACATTTTTCATAAATTAGAAAAATATCCAGTATCTGACCACACACTAATACATATTATTATTATCTATTAATTTGAACAATTGTTTTTCATCAAGGCTTATACAAAAACCTGTTTATCATTTAATATTATATCCGCTTTTCCTTAATGTCCAAATCTGATGATGGTTTTGTTAAACAAATTCGATTTAGTATAATCTAGAATCCATTCTTAATTTAGTTTTGCGTCGATATGTGAGTCCAATATTTTGTTTACAATAAAATGAACGAACATTGCCGTGTTGTTAATTACCATATATCCGCCATTAGTAATATTTCAAAGGAAATATGCCGTCACGTGTTTATTCAATGTACGACCTATATTCATTTTTATCCTGAAGTAGTGATTGTTATATCAATAAAGAGCGTGTAAAATATAAATCAATTGTAAATGATTGTACATTGATTACCTATGTTTGGCTAAGTGTGATAGCAAAGATATAATATCTACAGGCAAAGTGGACGAAACGGGCTTGAAGGACAATTTTGTGGCATTTTCCACTGGAATTTTGTATCTGGAAGTGCAACTGCATCACTATACCTACGTACTGTATCGCCTATCGAATATAGCCCCAAATGATATTTTATACTACTATACTACTTACTATAGCATAAATTATCATTGTTACCATATACATATGTTTATTAGTTCTTAAGGATAGTGTCAGTGCCTACTAAATATCTTCCCAACACTACACTTGTTAAAAACGCATATAATCTGATATAGTCAATATC